TTGAACGGATTTTTTTTACACGATTGTAAACCGTATTTGTTCAAAATTTATGCCACAGGGTGGATATCTAAGTTCATTAATTAAATTTTTCTTTAACCATAAGATAAAAATTCCTTGACCATAATTCTGGTTATTTGCAAACCCATAATTAAAAACTGAATTTGTAAATGCAAAAAAAAAAAAAAAAAACAATAATTCTGACATTGTCAGTCGTCATTTGACTGCGAAAGCGTGGTGACAACAAATTACAACTATTTTTAAATCTCTTATTAGCTATGACTAACGCTATCTAAAGGTAAAATTGTAACCTAGGCCTGATATATAGATGCCCAATCGAACTTGCTGTGTGGTATATCAAGGCAAACTCGCGAGTTTGCTTTAATATTTCGTAGGTTTATTATTTGCCAAGTGCATTCACATATCTGAACTGCCGAAATAAATTCTAAGTTTTATATAAGGAATAATCTTGCCTGGCCTCCAACTTGACCGTGTGGACACACCGAGATGACTGACACCCTGACCTTGTCTACAGCCTTATTTATAGAATGACGAGCCTCCGAGCCTACGCAGGAACCGTTGTCTGTCGGTCATAATTTATTCGTTTTTCAATGAGAAGTATGATATGAAGCATTCTATGTATAGTAATGTCTCTTAAAATTCATTATGGGACAGATTATGCAAAATAATTTCATTTGAGAGAGACGATTCAACTTTGCACTTATTTCAATACTATGAAGTTTGAAACAATCAAAGCAAGAAGGATTCTATGCAAATGTTGTACAAGTAAGGTTCAAAATGCCAGTATTTGTAATGCATCGACGATGCTTATCAAATGTGGCCTGTGCTTACGTTGTGCGTGTAAATTCATTGATAATGAAAATGTATTTCTTGCATCGAAAACAGTGAATAACAGTAGCAAGTAATTGCTAGACTTGTGTATATACGATCGTCGTTCCTTAAACTTTCCGTCACCAACTTAACGAGAATATTTGTTTATTCACGAAAGTGCATTTATTATTCAGTGCATTTCAGATGAGCCTTATTCTACCTGCAGGTGCATAATAGCCGCACTAACAACACTATTCACACAGAGCATTCATGCTTGTATGAGCAGGTAAAACAGGTGGCAAGAAGCCGCTCAAGGTTATGAATGCAGCTTTTTGGAACATGAACATGAAAAAAGTGAAAGGCTCATTAAACCTTTACAGGATCATAATAAAAACGAAACAAGTGCATGGCGAAAAGTACTGTATGTGTATGACTGACCTCGAGTTACGTAACTCACGTAGCACGTTACATAACCCCAGAATAATTCAATATTATTTATTTTAATTTTCAATATCAAAACAGAGTAGGCTAACGAGAGTTTTTTTTAAATGACGTACGAAAATTCTAATAAATATCATGGAAAAGTTTAACAATCTAATGGATACTTCACTTTTTAATGTAACAACTTAATTCTTTCACGGATTTATTATATCCGGACATCTCCACTGTTGAAAAATAAAATATGATAAATTGAATTAAAAATATTGTTACTCGAGCCAAGAAGGAATTGCAGTTCGTCCGTTACCTTCGTTTGCGATGACCACGCAGATTCACGCGGTGATTGTTTGGTAGCGCTGCTTGTCATGTACGGTTCTTTCCGTGTTAACCGAATATACAATAATATTCAACACTACGAGAACACGACGTATTATCTTTAATATTAATCCAACAACGTTTGTAAACCAGAACTGATTTATTCAGAAAATAAAATTAATTATCAACCAGACATTAGAAGCTGCATTCGCACAGCAAATGGTGACTGAATCATCAATATCGCTGAAATACACTGTTAGAAAAATTACCGTTAACGGTATTACCGGCGTTTCAGTGGCCGGTCGCAACGTGAAAAGAAACATCGCGTCGCCGTTTTTATTCTAATTTTACGCTAGAAAACCGTAAAACATCTGATAATAACGGCGAAACAGTTTATTTTCACGGGGCGACCGGCCACTAGAACGCCGGTGGGACCGTTTTTTCACCGTTTTTTCTAACAGTGTAGCGACAACATTGAAAAAATCCATCCTGTGCTTATTTTCCCACACTGAACGCATCATGGTAAACCCAATCAGAGAAAACACAAGTGCTTAATAACTCAGAACGAAAAACTGATGAAGCTGACTAGATAATCCTCACATCAACATGTCTGAATCAGGACGACGTGGTGAGAGCAAAGCGATTCAATCAATAGAAAACGAGAACAGGCCTCACGAGGGCAAAAAAAATTAAAATTTGTCATCAATGACGTCATGGAAATTTAACCAAAATACTATTTCATTTAATTTTCAAGTCAGTTTCGAATTGTTCTAACTACATAAGTCGAATTAATGTTATCGGGAACATGCAAGCATGACACTTTTAATTGGGTCCTCATTGCGTCAAAGCGACGTTTGGGAATTTCTTAGAGACCTTCACCCAACCCTAGATCCATTTAACCGAATCTGATCTAACTTTAACGAGGTTCGCGGTCAGTATAGCCACGAGTTTTCTTTCTTTTCAAAAAATCGTTTCAATTAATATAACGGCTGATGTAAAGTCCGGCCGGCTCTAGCGAGGTTATGATGGCAACTGACATCAGAGTTGCGTCGTGGTCTTCATTTATTGATAAAACTCATTCAAAAAATCAAATCAATCATTCTCAATGAAAACTTGCCTTAAATTGAGCCTTTTTCAATGATTTAGATGGCACATTCCAATTCGCATAGATTATATCCAATCCACTTCAATTTTTAAGCAAAAATTAGGCTTTTGGTTATTCGTCGGGCGGCACTTCGTTACTATTCATGAGTTTTATTTTTCTTCTTCATATGTAGGGACATGGGGGGCAACCCAACATCCTGAATAAACATATAATATAATTCTTCATGCGTTCTCTTATAACAAAAATGGATTTAGAGTTTATATATAACTTATATAATAGTTTAAATGGATTGCGTTAATTGAGGCAGTTAAGTTTTGAAGAATCTCTGAGGAAAATATGGGTTCTCGTGTAAAATAAATTGTACCGTCGGTGCCAATGGCCGTCTATTTACCCTAATTTTCATTCATATTCACGGAAATGCATTGAATGAATCCACATCTAATTCAATTTAACAAGTTAATTGCTTCAGTGCAAGTCAGGGAATTGTCAGCATAAACAAAAATTTCGATGCAAATAGGTCACAGCGTTTAAAAATTAGGAAATGTATCAAATAACTATTTACAATACATTATGATCGTGCCTGAAGTTATAACATTTTGCAGTTAATTTTGATCGTTTTCATCTCCTTTTCGGTTTGTGCAACGACTTCCTTCCTGTAGCTAACCATACGCCTGATCGAGCGTGACTGGAATTAACGCGCCCGCCCATCGCAGTTCAACGGGATTGCTGTTTTTTTCCTTTAATTGTTGATGGTTTTTTCCTTGAATTTTTTAACGTTAAATGATCGCGTTTTTCGCTGTTGCCTTCCGTTTTGAGACACATGGATGGGTGGTTTTTCTAAATAAATATTAAATTTTTATTGATAATGCATAGAATTTTTTTTGTCGAGTAGAGGAAGATTTTCACTCAACATTTTCATCGGGAGCACAAGATGAGACTTTTTTCTGCTCAGCGTATGACACATATATGTTATTTTTCTATCGTGCCATCATTAGGGCATTGGATGGCTTTCTTTGCTTGCTGAGCCAGCAAAATACGTAGGACTCTGTTTTACGCCAAATTGGACACAATACTTACTTTGTGCTTCATATATTTTTAGCGTATTGTGTAAGAAGGACCAATTTTTATGACTGTTAGCAGTATGTTGCGCACTCGACAACTTTTTAATGTTTTTATTTTGAACAACGAAAAATCAAGTCTTCTGCTTCATGTCAAAAAGTAAAAAATTAGTTCATGTGTAGCTAGTGTGAGTTAGGGTAGATTTAGATTTGTTGGTAGAAGGATGACAAAGTCATGCGTGAAATTTATTTAATAGTCATCAAACACACAAAATAAAAAATACAAAAACTAGTCATAGTCATGATAGGTGAAGTTATAATGATAGTTATGTTCCTTAAATACTGTTCATAACTATCTTATGCCCCCAGCAGATTCTAGAATGCATAATGCACCCAAAAATGCACTATGCCCTCGAATAAATTTTTGAATACATAGTTATGGATGTAATTACACCTATGGATGTATTTTAATCCGTAAAACGCATCCTCGTGATCCGCGTCCTCAGAAGCAGAGATCTTGTTTGCTGACGTCCAGCTTGCTGGTGTCCAGCCCGCGGTCCGTTATCACGCCGAGCACCTTCGTGATGATGGCTTCAGGTACAAATAGTTTTCGAGTGTGGCATATTGGTTGAAAATCCCATTCGAGTATGTTTAGAATGATGAATAATCCATACAAAAAAGTTCTATCCATAATTTAGAATAGCTCCCCATATGATAGGGCAATTTATTATTGAAATTAAGGGACATCTGCTTATAAGAAAACCTGAGATTCATACTTACATGTATAAGAGCTTTAAATATTAATTAACCCGGAACGATATTAATTATTATTAATACCAACACAATGCAAAGGTGGCACAATTAAACGAAACCTCTTAATGCAACCTTAATGCAGACTCACTTATCTTCACCACTAAACTCTAGTGATAGGACGTTTACAATGTTCATTCTCTTAAATAGTGAGGCGTTCAAAACTGAATACGATAACACGTAGAGTTAAGCGAACACTACACTAAACTGGCACATAAAATGAAGTAAGATTAGTGAAAGAACGGTCAGTACGAAAATATATAAATGAAGGTCAGAACGAAAATAATAGAGTGAACATTTGATGAACCGCTATCTTAATAAAAAGGCGTTTATTAATTTATGCATCAACACCTATAATAAAGTGGACACATCGGTAAAGTGGAATTTAAAAGGAAGCAAGACTTTATTAGCATATGGCGTTCATTTATGATTGATGGAAGACGTACGAATGTTTCCGAAGAATTCGCTGAGGCAGTTCCAGACGATAGCGTAGGACTTGTAGTCGGTGTCCAGCACCAAATAGTTAGGGTTCGTCACTGCGGTGGAACTGTTGGCATCTGTAGACATGCAAATAGTGTAATTAATTATAATCAATTATCTAATGTTGGAACGATTCAACCAAAGTTAAATTCAATGTTTTAACTTAGTTGTTGTGCAGCGCATTAATGCAAGATAAAAATAGTGGTAATTTAGACCGGAGGTAAAGATTTAACTTGATTAAAAAATTGCGATTTTAGAATATGGGCGCAGTGACATTAACAGCATTAACAGCATATAACTGACATTATGAGAATGCATGAAGGAGATGCTATTGGATGGACGAATAAACCAAAATATGCCTGTATGAAGTGAAGCCTTGAATTTAGAATATCTAAAGAATTAAACTGGCATTGATATATCATTGGGAATAAAGTTCCATATAATAAACGCATAAATGACCACCACACTATAATTATAGGCAAATGCGTGCTCCTAGACACTGACATGGCGTCGGAGAAGAGAAGGAGACTGAGAGCTTCCCTTCCTTGTTGCTAGGGTTGGCGAACTTGGCCTGCCCTACTACGCCGCTAGGCTTCCCGAAGCTGCGATAAATGAAAAAAATCACAAAGTTAATTAAAAATGAAAAGCAATGTTAATAAAGAAAACATAGACAATAGAAAATTAGCACATGGAAAATAAATTGGATCATAAATAAAAAAATTAAGTTTGAAATAATGCAACGCCAATGGAAATAGATAACATTTATAAAAAAGTAGCAATAAAAATGTACAAAAAATGAAATAAATTACACAGACCGACTGACTCTTACAGAACACAAAGGGTTAGAGGAAGAAAAGACTGAAACAAAAAAATGCGCTTCATAAAATTCAAACATTAGGAACGAAGCTCCATTGATACATTAATAAATATAGATAATTAGTTGATAACTCAACTCACATATTTAGTTGATTATTTTCAACCTTGATGAGCCCGTTGCCCGCGTCCGAGTATTTGGCAGATGCGCAGCGCCCGCCAAACTGGAAGATGGCGAAATACTTGCGGTTCTCGTACCACTTGCCCAGGTACTGCAAACCAGAAATCTCATGGTAAAAATCTCATCATATCAAATCTTATATCGTGAAAAGTAATCTCTTTATCTCTATCGGTGGCAGGGTGGCCCAGTGGTTAAAGTTCAGAGTACCAAGATTGGAGCAGAGAGGCGCGGGTTCGATCCCAGCTCTGAGCGCCAGTTTCTGGTCAGAATCGGCAAGGAGGCCGGGCGGTTAAGCACAGCATAATTGTAGCAGTGAGTTGCGAGTTCGAGACCGCAAAATGCTGTGAATGTTCTGCGATGTTAAGAATCGGCGACAGGCCTACGGCCTACTAAACGCTGAAACAGCTATTATTATTATTATCGTAAAAATATTTTTACCTGTATCATAAAAAGAAATCATTGTTTCTCTTACCGTTTTCCCATGCCAAACTTATTCTCATAAACGAAGGAAAATTTCAAATTTTGAAGATTTTATCAAATAACGTGTTACCTACTCATAAAATTTTGGTGTGTTGTAAAAGCGTACTTCAAGCTTGTATGTTAAAGAAATAGAGATAATACTCCATGAATTGGTCCACAAATCAAAAGTAATTCAACTTCCATGAATGTTTATGAAAATTTTGATTAGTTTTACATTAGTACCATTTGAATTGATCAGTAGATATTAAGAGGATCATGAAGATTAGGTATAATAACTGTTGGAAAGAAGAGATTCTCCAATCAAATAGATTTGATAGCGAAGCTTTTTATCCCAATCAACAATCTTTCATTTATAAACTGATGTATACTATATTTTCGACTGATCAGCAAAATCGGAATTTTTTCTAAAATTTCGGGCCTAACTCAATAAAATGAACAAAAAAATATTTTTTTGGACAAACGCTAAAAATGTACGTTTTTTCATTGAATGGAAAAGAATTGTAGTGAATTGCAGGCAGTATTGTAATTTCCGACTTCGAAATTAGGACATTGTAGAGTAATTCTTTAAAATCATTTGGCTGAATTTTACAAAATGAATTTTAAGAAAATTAAAACTTTTGCAAAATGAATTTTACGAAATTAATTTCACAAAATGAATACACAAAATTAATTTTGGTAGCTCCGTGCAGTAGCAGTTTTTAGCGCATTTTCTCATTCATGGAAAAATGCCCTATTGTGCTCGCCATGTCCGTCTGTCTGTCTGTCTGTCCGTCTGTCCTTCTGTCCGTCTGTCCGCCAGTCCGTCCGTGACCTCAAGTTTTCGTCGACGAGAAAATGCGCTCTCTGTCACTCACTGCAGTGAGTACTGAGTTATATTTTTTTTAATCATTGCGCTCATGCAGTAAAACAAATGCCTCTGACCTCACATACTTTTTTGTTGGCACTATCGTTTCTTTTAGCGTCTTGTTAGTAATGTTTTTGGCCTCTAAATATACTTGGCATGCTGTTTTGAATTTCTCTCAAGTTTAGAAATGCAAACGCTTGCGACAAACTTGTACTTGTGTGAGAAAAAAGTCAACTTGTCCTTGATTATTCGAATAACCTTAATTACTCCGTAATATCTTCATAGAAAATAAACGCTAACTTTATTACCTTCTTGGTGGCTGAATGAAGGTAAATATTTTATTCTTAGGTTTGAATGAGAAGAAAAATAAATTATCATTTTTTTCTCTAACGTTCTAATCACCTGAATGAAGTTTAAACTAGTATTTGCGTGAAATATGGAATTATGCACTCTATTACATTAGTATTTGGCGTTTTCGCCATTTGCACACCAACAAATGATTGTCAAGAAATCAGAATTTCGGAATTTAAATATAGGCGAAAAATCTGATGTTGCGTTTGGATGTTATCAGCTATAACAACATAATATTAATGAAGCTAACGATCGAAAAAAACAGTTGAAAATTCTTCCTATTCAGTCGCCGATTGCTTACAAGATTGCTGAAATCTGGGTTGAATATTTTATTGCAAACTGATATATTTTGAGCACGTGATTTCATGCAAAAAAATGAACGCGTATACATTTTTGTCTCATAAAACCAACGTTCTATAAATAACATACTATGATTATTAACAATTTATGGAATTGATGGAACGTCAATTGGTGTTAGCATCTTGAAGCCAGAACTTTAGCTTGATCTTCAAACTGCTTACGTTGACATATTATAAAACATAACTCATACCAAAGTTCCATTCACGGCAACAAAAAATATCCATGGGAGAAACCATGCTTGAAGTATGTAGTTTCACTTTGGTGAACTTGACCGTTACGATCGCACCTTTTCTCTGTTTAACGAAGCATTGGGGACCAGTTTTTATGTCGCTAACCCAGCCTTGACGCTCTCGCAGTTGAGAAAAAAATCAGTTAAACAGTTCAGCGCTAGGTATTCAGAACTAAATGTGGAATTTAAATATTAACATGTTTTTAATTTTTAGTAATTGACACACGTTCCGTCAATTGTGCGACATGCTAGAAAAAATATAACTCAGTACTCACTGCAGTAAGTGACAGAGAGCGCATTTTCTGGTCGACGAAAACGTGGTCACGGACAGACAGACAGACAGACAGACGGACATGGAGAGCACAATAGGACATTTTTTTCCATAAATGAGAAAATGCGCCAAAAATAGGCCGGTGAAGTGAAGGAAAAGAAAGCCTACTAATCCCTTTTGTGTAGTGAAGCTTCTTATTTAATATAAGCTTCCAGTGTGATGAATTAATTCATAATAATTTGCTCGTTTTGTGATATTAACCACTACAATTTGTAGAACAATAGTAAATATTTTACTGGTGTTATTTCTCAATAAAGTGTAATTAAATATTACATCACAGATTGACTTAGTAATAAATTACAATTTTTTGCCTAAATGATTCATACAAGAAATAATTGCTCGACGATTAGGGCTCAGTTATAGAGGAAGACTTGGATTAATAAGGTTAAATTACCGGTTTTATTCAAATCTTAGTAGGTCAAGCGGAAATGAGCTAATTACGAGTACATTATACTTTTCGTATCACCCTTTAGTTAAAGACGAATTCAAATTTAAATTTGCGGTCAATGAGACCTGACTGACCGATTGGGATTTTAATTACGATTGATGTGGACCAAAATCATTTTAGGGAGAATTACACAAGACGATTGAAAATTTTGAATTAATATGTCAGTAACATTATAAAATAAATCATGGTTTACTCACTCTGTTGGCGTCGAGGTTCGACACCACGGACGGGTTGGGACATTTTTTAAAGAAGCTTAGCTCTTGTGCTTGCGCCGCAATGCTCAGCAAGCACACGATCATCAACACACACTTCAACATTTCTGATGAGATTTCACTCTAATTCAACGACTGTAAATTAAATTAAAACAATTTTCTGAAAAATTACAGAATATCGTTACATTACAGAAAAATCTCACGTCAAATGTTTTCAATAGCTAGGAGTTGTCTTGAATAAACTGCACTTGATCTGATTTATTTCGTTTGTTATTGGCATCGAAGTTCACGTTTTCCTTGTTTTAATTGACGGTGAAGTTTCAGAAAACTATAACTATACTATATATATATAACTATACTATATATATAACTATACTATACAGATGTCCGCCTTATATACCGGCCATCAGTGCACTCCGGCATGCATGACATAGTGGCTAACATGTATAGACTAAAATCACCTTAACATGAGCAATACTATAAAGATATTATATCCGAAGAAAATGTATTTCGTTATAAGAATTCATAACAAATGAAATGCCAACAATCATCAACCACTTCCTTTAAAAATAGTATAGCGTTATATTCTCCTCGATTGTATTAACAGAAGTCTAAACATTTTAATGATTGATTTATGACTAATACTTGAATATGACTACTGAAATATTATATATAGTCACGAATGTAATGAATGTTTTTATTCGAGTGTATTTCGGTATCAACAAATATCTGGCTAGGCGGTCTCAACAATGAATGGGAAACTAAATATATAGCACGGCACGGATTAAAAAGCAACTGGTACTGAATGTGCTTTATACTGTATATACTGTATACAGTATAAAGTTTATACTGTATATACTGTATATACTGTTTATACTGTACTGTTTATACTGTTTATACTGTTTATACTGTTTATACTGTTTATACTGTTTATACTGTTTATACTGTTTATACTGTTTATACTGTTTATAGACATGCCGGCGACATGTTTACACGTAGTTATATGCATCGTTTATAGACATGCCGACTGTTTATAGACATGCCGGCGACATGTTTATACTGTTTATACTGTACTGTTTATACTGTTTATACTGTATATACTGTATATACTGTATATACTGTATATACTGTATAGCACGGCACGGATTAAAAAGCAACTGGTACTGAATGTGCTTTAACAAAATATATCTGGGAAGGTGGTAGTGTAGTGTTAAGACATTTTGTGACTTTCATTTTGTAATAAAATTATAATTTTATTTAATTTTATTATTTTAATCAATTTTTATTAAATTAATAATTATATTTAATTGTATTTATTTTATTAAATAAAATTATAATTATTTTAATCAATTTTTATTAAATTAATAGTTAAATTTAATTTTATTTATTTTATTAAATAAAATTATAATTTTATTAAAAAATGTAAGTCGCAATATGTCTTAACACTACAGTCCTGCTACGCATTTATGCATGAATGCACTTAATGACAGATAGATTAACGTGCATTATGGCTCAAGGCTGGTGACCAGAAACCATGTCAAATGAGAGCTTCCCCGCGGCTTGGTTATTATAGTTGCAACACAAACGGGCATATCGAGTGAATCTTTAGGCTTGAATAACATTTTTTTACACAATTGTAAACCGTATTTGTTCAAAACTTATGCCAAAAGGCCGATATCCAAGTTCATTAATTGAAATTGGATGTAACCATAACCATAATTATTCCTTGACCATAAACTAAATTCATAAACTGAATCCAGGAAATGCATATGACGCCAATTATGACATTAACAGTGGTCATTTAGTGACTGCTAAAGCGTGGTGATAATAAATTACGACTATTTTCTAAATCTTTTATAGCTATGCTTAACGCTATCTAAAAATACAATTGTAACCTAGGCCTGATGTATGGATGCCAAATCGAACTTGCTGTGCGGTATAATATTTCGTAAAGGTTCACTTATCTCCCAAGTGCACATATAAGTATGAACTGCTGATATACATTCTGGGTTTAATGTTAGGAATAATCTTGCCTGGCCTTTAACTTGACCGTGTGGACACACCGAGATGACTGACACCCTGACCTTGTCTACAGCCTTATTTATAGAATGACGCGCCTCCGAGCCTACGCATGAAAAAAGTGAAAGGCTCATTAAACCTTTACAGGACCATAATCAAAAAAGAAACCAGTGCATGGCATCCTGTATGTGTATGACTGATCTTGAGTTACGTAACTGTACGCCATACGTTTTAGGCGTATCTGATTAATTATCAACTACAGATGATAATTAATACCCCAGGTAGGTTGGTACCCGAACCTGAGGTCGGTTCGGGTACCGTGAACAAATGAGGATAAATGAGGCACGAGTTAAGTACAGATTAGATTCTTATACTTTTTGAGAATATACCGGCTTACAGTTTATAGGTATAGAGTGCTAAGGGAGGAGAACGTTAACGCGCTCGTCTGGGGGTTCGTACTTGTGGTCTTCCGGGTTTAAAAAAGCTTATAAAGATTTCATTAAGGTAATGAGCTTCTAACGGGTAAAACAAATAAGGCTAATACAAGGATATGTTTATCAACATCGGGATGGAGGAACTACAGTATTTTCAAACCAGGCAGAAATTATTTGAATGCGGAATGAGCAATTGAATACAGAAATGACTGTTAATAATTTTCCACCTCACATAACTCATACTCACACATTACATAACCTCATTATAATTAAATATTATTTATCTTAATTTTCAATATATATACAGAGTAGGAGACTCAGAGTTTATTTCAAAAATTATGGTCAAAAATTCTAATAAATATCAGATTGTACACTCTAATGGATTCTTCACTTCTTCAATGTGCAAACTTAATTTTTTGCACGGATTTATTTTATCCTGACATCTTCACTGTTAAGAAATAAAATGTGACAAATTGAATTAAAAATATCATTACTCGAGCCAAGCGGGATTTGCTCTTCGTCCGTTACCTTCGTATGCGATGACCACGCAGATTCACCCGGTCCTTGTTTGGAAGCGCTTCTTGCAACGTACGGTTCTTTACGCGTTGATTGAACAATATATCCGTGTCCACAATAGTATTCAACGCCACGAGAACACGAGCTCATTTATCATTTATCTTGATCAAACAACCTTTGTAAAAGCAGAACAGATATTCAGAAAATAAAATTAACAAACAACAAGGTATCATAAGCGGCACTTGCACAGTGAATGGTGACTGAATCATAAATACTACTGAAATGCAATAATATGGCGTTAATATCGACTACAATGGGAAAAAACATCCAGAGCTTATATTTTTGCACTGAAGGCATAAATGTAAACCAAATTAGAGAAAACGCAAGTGCTTATTAACTCATAACGAAAAACTGATGAAGCTGAGTAGATATTCGAAACAGCAATATGCCCGACTCAGGACGACGTGAGGAGACAAAACGATTCAATCAATAAATAAAACAGGACTGGTCTCACGAGAGCAAGAAAAAACCAAGTGTTGTCAACAATGACCTCTTGGAAATTTAACTAAAATAGCATTTCATTTAATATTCAAGAAGTTTCTGAATCACTCTAACTTTAGAAGTCAAATTAATTTTATCGGGAACATGCATGTATGCGTGACAGTTCGACATTTTTGGGTACGTCCATATCGAGTCAAAACGATGTTTGGAAATTTTATAAAGACCTTCACCCAACCTAAGATTCACTCAACCGAATATGATCAAATATTAACAAGGTTCGCGCTCAGTATAGCCACTAATTTTCTTTCCTTTCACAGAATCTGTTCAATTAATATAACGACCGATGAAAAGTCAGCCCGGCTATAAGCGAGGTTATGATGGCAACTGACATAAGAGTTACTTTGTGATCTCCATTTATTGATAAAATTTATTAAAAAAATAAAATCAATCAATCTGAACCAAAACTTAACCTAGGGCCTTTTCATTGGTTTTGGGTTCTAAACCAAATATTGGGCATTTTTCAATGGTTTAGATGGCACATTACAATTCGCATTGATTATATAGAATTCACTTCATTTTTTTTAGCAAAAATAAAGCTTTTGATTATTCGTCAGCTTCATACTATTTTTCTTTGAAGCGAACTTTTGGCTTCATTACTATTCATGCGTTTTATTTTTCTTCTTCATTCGTTCTCTCATAATAAAAATTAGTCCGTTGAAACGAATAGCGTTAACTGAGGCAGTTAAGTTTTAAGGAATCACTGGGGAAAATATCGGTTCTAAAGTAAAATTAATTGTACCGTCCGTGCCAATGGCCATTTATATTACCTTGATTTTTATTCATAATATATATGCAGAGAAATTTATTGAATGAATCTACATTTAATTTAATCTATCAAGTTAATTATTTCAGTGTAAGTCATGGAATTGTAAGCTTAAATAAAAATTCTGATGTAAATGGGTCCAGGCGTTTCAAAAATTAGGAAATGTGTCAAATCATTATTTACAATATATAATGCTTGTACCTGAATTAAAACATTTAGCAGTTAATTTTTTATTGTTATCATCTCATTTTCGGTTTATGCAACGACTTCCTTCCTGTAGCTGACCATACGCCTGTTCGAGCGTGACTGGAATTAACGCGCCCGCCCATCGCAGTTCAACGGGATTGCTGTTTTTTTCCTTTAATTGTTGATGGTTTTTTCCTTGAATTTTTTAACGTTAAATGATCGCGTTTTTCGCTGTTGCCTTCCGTTTTGAGACACATGGATGGGTGGTTTTTCTAAATAAATATTAAATTTTCATTGCTAGTGCATAGAATTTTTTTGTCGAGTAGAGGAAGACTTTTACTCAACATTTTCATCGGGAGCACAAGATGAGACTTTTTTCTGCTCAGCGTATGACACAGATATGTTATTTTTCTATCGTGCCATCATTAGGGCATTGGATGGCTTTCTTTGCTTGCTACAGTAAAATACGTAGGGCTCTGTTTTACGCCAAATTGGACACAATACTTACTTTCTGCTTCATATATTTTTAGCGTATTGTGTAAGAAGGGCACATTTTTATGACTGTTAGCAGTATGTTGCACACTCAACAACTTTTTAATGTTTTTTTTTGAACAACGAAAAATCAAATCTTCTGCTTCGTGTCAAAAAGTAAAAAATTAGTTCATGTGTAGCTAGTGTGAGTTAGGGTAGATTTAGATTTGTTGGTAGAAGGATGACAAAGTCATGCGTGAAATTTATTTAAAAGTCATCGAACACACAAAATCAAAAATACACAAACTAGTCATAGTATTGATAGGTGAAATTATAGTGATAGTTATGTTCCTTAAATACTGTTCATAACTATCTTATGTCTTCAGCAGGACTATAAGACGTGATTCTAGAATGCATAATGCATCCAAAAATGCACTATGCCCTCGAATAAATTTTTGAATACATAGTTATGGATGTAATTACACCTATGGATGTATTTTAATCCGTAAAATGCATCCTCGTGACCCGCGTCCTCAGAAGCAGAGATCTTGTTTGCTGACGTCCAGCTTGCTGGTGTCCAGCCCGCGGTCCGTTATCACGCCGAGCACCTTCGTGATGATGGCTTCAGGGGGCGAGCGCTGCCGGGTCAAAACCCATAGGAATTCTGAAGGAGGTAGAGGTATTAGCTTAGATTTGGATGGTAGAACTTTTCCTAGATTTTGGGTGGTAGAACTTTTGGATGGTTGAACTAGAAGTATATGGAACGTCACGGATGTTTAAACAATGACAAGTACATTTATCATGAAATAAAAAATGATTTGTGTTTGCGGGTGGTTCATCGAAACCGGGTGTATTAGCCATTTTGTAGGAAGAAGTACTGTCTAGTATTCTGTGTAATACGTAATAGGTCACTGTCATTAGTTGCGGAACATAATAACCTAGCATGACAATAATTACAGATAAAGTTCAAGAGATCGCTATGGCTCAAATAAGAGTCCTACAACTCACCGGCGTAAGAGAAAACCGAGGTTCATCTAAAGTTCCTGAAACTCACTGATATTGGCGATAAGCAGGACTCGAATAAGGTTCCTGAAACTCACGGATGTTGGCGATAACCAAGGCTCGAATAAGGTTCCTGAAACTCACGTTGTTGTTGATAACCAATCTCGAATAAGGTTCCTGAAACTCACTGATGTTGTTGACAACCAAGGCTCGAATAAGGTTGCTACAACTCACGGATATTGGCAATGATGGCGGCCTGGCAACTCCAGACGATGGCATAGTTGTCATAGTCCGTGTCGAGGACCCAGTAGTTGCTTGCGGTCACGCTGCTTGTGTCGTTAGCGACTGCGCATTTAGGATACGATAGAGTCAGCGTACAAAGCTCTTTGATTGAATCTGATAACAATAGCTTCAAGCATGATAGAAATACATGTTAATTTAGTAATTTAAAGAAATATGTCGTCGATTTAGCTCGATGTGCTTATTAAACTCCTTCAAGTTTGATAATTTTCTTTCATTTCTAAGTAATAATGTCACTTGTTTGCTTTAATCGCAAATTCACCAAAAACTTAAAAGCAAAGAAAACTCCACAAAAATTCATAGTATCTTTAAAGAAAACTTTCATTTCTGTATTCATTCATTTCTGTATTCATTTTAATATTAATGTATGCCTGCTTGTACATAGTATATTTATAGATGTTCATCTCTGTATATGTGAGTGGCAATACTTACAAGGAGTTGCAGAGGTGAATGACACGGTTAATTTCGCTTCAGTTTTGGTTGGGTCTGCAAATTTTGCTTGCCCTACAACACTCACGGGGATCACTCTGTAAAAGCGTGCAAAATTTGTGGTTTTCAATTTATATCTTTAGGATCAATTTACAACTTTTCTCTCTAAAAATGTTTGAAAACTTATACATGAATCTCTTATTTGGACGATTAATTGTTAATTATAAGAAATGATCTTTTAATTTATGAAATTAAAAACGTCCAACAATAAATGAAAACAGTTGATAATTGATGCACTTTGCTATAACAAAATAACAACTTTTCAGCAACGACAGCAATACTATAACAATTTAAATATGAATCATGTTTCAATAACACAGAGACAAAAATATTTGCATGTATAATGATACATTTCTCTGACTCACGTTATCTCACTCTAACATATTGCATGTATTTCTCTCTCTCACGTTATCTCACTCTAATATATTGCATGCATTTCTCTCACTCACGTGATCTCACTCTAATATATTGCATGTATTTCTCTCACTCACGTTATCTTTTGGTCGTTGCGGACGCCGATGATGCCGTTACCGGCGTCGGTGTAGGTTGCTGTGGTGCAGCGGCCGCCCAGCTGGAAGATGGTCTTGTACTTGCGGTTCTCGTACCACAAGCCGAGGTACTGGAGCAAGGGAAAACAAATTATTTGTATCATGCGCTTGCTTAAATCGCAAGTTAACCAAAAATCGCAAAAGAAACAAAACAAAAATGAATATGCCACGTATTATTCGAAAGGGTTTGTGATGAAGATATCGAGGAATTCAGCAAACGTTCGCGTTTCTCATAAATTCGTGGAGAAAAAAGAAGTCTGTTAAAATTTGTTCGCAGAATAGTTGTGATGATTGACCGCGGCACAATAAACATAATTGACCAAATTTTTTGAGATTTTTCTGAAAAATTTGTTCACAAATTACATTCTTGATATAGGAAACAAGCAAGATAAGCCTTGCTATGTTGCTATGAAATTCGAAGGAAGTGAAGATTTATTGCCTGCTTTAAAAAGCTCCATATTTTATATATTTTAAGAATAGGATCCTTGAAACCTGAAAATACCATTTACTCATCATCCTGGCTGCGCTAATAAACCAAAATGCAGTGAAAGCTAAGAACATGAAAATTGGTCAATTTTAATGCTTTTTTCCTTTTTTTTCTATCGAGGAAATTGTTAAATTTTGTAATCAAATAGATCGCCACAATGTAGAGAGCAGGCAGCCGTAGCAGCCACTTTACTTCTCGTCAGGTTCACTACAACCTTTTCTTATTTCAATTCCTTACTAATTCTTGAAAGCCCGTGGCGTGCATTAAATTAAGAAATTAATGTATTTTTGTAAGTATTTATTTCAAACCACACACCTTTTTGACGTCCAAATTCGGGACGACCGCCTGACTGGGACATTTGGCGAAAAACAGTTTCTGCGCAGCCGCGGTTGCCAGTAAAGAGATGACGAGAACGAGCAATGACTTCATTATATACGGGTGTGATGTAAGGCGAGTGTATAGTGCGATTTTTTTGTTCAAATCTACGAAGAATCTGAAAAATATAAGTATCCTGATTAGTTTGATAATTTTACAAGAATATTTCTCTATTATGAGAATAGGATTTATGTTATCTAAAAGTTATAAGTGGTCACTTGTTGCTATCCAAATTGAACGAATTGCGAAATTTGTTTCTCACTCGGTTAAAAATAATCACTTTGCCACTAGTTGGCATAAGACAAATTTTGTGTCATAATGTCATGAATGATACTCGCATTATTTATGTTTTTCGAAAAAATCACTACAAATAGTGCCTCTTTCATTTGTTAGAATATTCGAAGAGACAATTTCGATTATTCTTAAAATATAATTTATAATAGTGACGTTTATGTCACCAATTTTCAGTTAATGGCACTCGAGTTCATTGAGAGCTGTTGTCGTCACTCGCTCGTACAGCCTTTAACTGAAGTACGCTTATCGTCAGGCTGAGGACCTGCCAATTCTTATATACTAGAGAGTAATGAAACGTTACGTACAGGATGGCACAGCTGGATGGCTTTAACGAGCCAAATATCGATTCTTTAAAAATCGATGAGATCATTTGGTTCGCGAGTGATTTTTCTTGTGGTTCTCGTGTAGTTTTCGATTCTTGCGCTTAGAATAAACATTAGAAAGTTAGTGGATATTACGAATTTTTGAAAACCAATATCGTTTTTATTACAATTATAAGTAAGCCAGACAAGATTAATGTTTGGCCAATATCTGTATGTTGAACTTAGCTTTTAAGATGATGGTAGGTGTTGTTTTCGGCTGTCTACCTGGTTAAGAACGGAACTGTTCGGTGTCTACCTGGTCCGTCAATAGCTAACTACTTAGTTAATTGACAGATCTTCCTGAAATTTTGTTCACATATGTTGAACACTAATAATACAAACACATTTTTTGGATGAATTTGTGTAAAAAAGCGCAAAAAGTGTGAAAATTTAGATAAAATGAGAAAAAAGAGGGTCATTAGAGGGCAAATAGATTCAGAGTTAAAATTTCGTAAAAATTCTACTTTATACATTGAACATACGCCTATCGACTGAAGAGTGTCTTATTTGATTTATTATTATTATATTGATTTTCTAAAGGTTTTCCCTCTCCTAAAACACCCATAATTTCACTATACATCAAAGAAAGAAAAAAAAAAAAACACGAAAAAGGCCACCTGAGGCGATATATATTTTTTTGATGAATCGAATGATATGTCTCACTATGTTGTAGTTCCTGAATGGAAGCAGTTATAATTTTTTTATGTTTAGAATTTTTATCTTTCAAAAGTCAACAAACTGAAAGTTTTTTAAACGAAAAGTAAAGTTTGAAAATAATTGCTTGGCATTTTATATCATTGGATGCTCGTAACGAAGAAATCATCATGAGCCTCACGAATCATTGTCTACCAGTTTTACATGAGTGAAAATTTATTTAAACCTTAATAATAGTAAATAGTCATTGTAGTTAGATCAACAAGAGAATAATATAGTTAGGTACAAACATAAGCACGCGGCTAAGACATAGCAACAGGCCATGGGCCTATTTCTTCAACGCCGACACTTCTATTCTATTCTTCTATTCTATAACATAAGCACATAAGACATAACAAACATAACTACATAAGACATAACAAACATAAACACATAAGCTAAGACACGCACATATACATAAACGGTTTGTTGCGTTGAACGGGCCATTAATCAATTTCACAGCAACAGAATGAGATCAGAGACGAAAAAGAAATATTTTTGATTCCCAAAGGAGGACGTTCCCTTAATTATTTTATTGAAAAAAGGTTATTAAATCAGTGACTGCTTATGCCCTTGAGCAAATATCACACTAAGTCTATGAAATAAATTTACTGGCGTATAAAATTTTACTGGCTTCACTTTAAATCTGATTATAATGCAGAAACTTGAAAGAAGAATTAAAAATGGTCGCACATTATTAAAATTAAAACCATTTTGTTGCCTTCACTTTTTACAGCTGCTCTAAGTATCGATTTAAGGTGCGAGTGTCTTTATAATTACAGAATCTTCGATAGCTGGAGAATCGAAGAAAGATCATTTAAAGTACAGCAAGTGTTCACTCACATTATCTTTTGTGTATGAAATCAATACACGTTTCCCAAAGTCACATTCATAAAAATATTTTTGGAAGAGGTCTCTGCATAATTCTTCATAGAAGAGAATTTGGGTATATGTTTAAGAAAAAACGCAGATATTGCATCACTGAATTGAAGTTTTAGATTATGACTCACTTTCATTTCGTTAAATAAACATGAATTTCCTTCCAAGTTATTAAATTTGCCGCGTAATAATATATTGAAGATAATTCTATTTTGTTGCACGAACACATGCCAGGACTAGATTCTGACCATTACAAGTGAATTTCATAATCCCATTGTGTGAAAAATATCTATGTTTGAAAATAATTGCTTGGCATTTTATATCATTGGATGCTCGTAACGAAGAAATCATCATGAGCCTCACGAATCATTGTCTACCAGTTTTACATGAGTGAAAATTTATTTAAACCTTAATAATAGTAAATAGTTATTGTAGTTAGAACTACAAGCGAATAATATAGTTAGGTACAAACATAAGCACGCGGCTAAGACATAGCAACAGGCCATGGGCCTATTTCTTCAACGCCGACACTTCTATTCTATTCTTCTATTCTATAACATAAGCACATAAGACATAACAAACATAACTACATAAGACATAACAAACATAAACACATAAGCTAAGACACGCACATATACATAAACGGTTTGTTGCGTTGAACGGGCCATTAATCAATTTCACAGCAACAGAATGAGATCAGAGACGAATAAGTAATATTTTTGATTCCCAAAGGAGGACGTTCCCTTAATTATTTTATTGAAAAAAGGTTATTAAATCAGTGACTGCTTATGCCCTTGAGCAAATATCACACTAAGTCTATGAAATAAATTTACTGGCGTATAAAATTTTACTGGCTTCACTTTAAATCTGATTATAATGCAGAAACTTGAAAGAAGAATTAAAAATGCTCGCACATTATTAAAATTAAAACCATTTTGTTGCCTTCACTTTTTACAGCTGCTCTAAGTATCGATTTAAGGTGCGAGTGTCTTTATAATTACAGAATCTTCGATAGCTGGAGAATCGAAGAAAGATCATTTAAAGTACAGCAAGTGTTCACTCACATTATCTTTTGTGTATAATATCAATACACGTTTCCCAAAGTCACATTCATAAAAATATTTTTGGAAGAGGTCTCTGCATATTTCTTCATAGAAGAGAATTTGGGTATATGTTAAAGAAAAACGCAGATATTGTATCACTGAATTGAAGTTTTAGATTATGACTCACTTTCATTTCGTTAAATAAACATGAATTTCCTTCCAAGTTATTAAATTTGCCGCGTAATAATATATTGAAGATAATTCTATTTTGTTACACGAACACATGCCAGGACTAGATTCTGACCATTACAAGTGAATTTCATAATCCCATTGTGTGAAAAATATCTATGTAAGGAATATTACATAACATAACATAACATAGTGATCTCGGCGCTGCAGTGTAGGTCTGATGTGGCCTGTCGCCGATTCTTTTCCTTTTCGTGCCTTGTTCACAGAAGATCTAAAATTGTGTTATTTGACCGGATCTTTTCATGACTGGCGATAGTTTGAAGTAGCTACTAGACTTCCACCGGGTTCGATAAGGAGCTAGGCATTTCAAATCTGAACATATATTTTTAACATATATATTAATTCAAACCCTGCAACACTGCGTAGAAGCAAAACGCGAAGCAAAATCACTGAGGCGGGACGTCTGCCTTTTTATTTGACCTGAAGTCCATGGCTTGTACTGCTGTACATGCTTTGATGTACTTAAATGTATGCGACTGCAATAACAATGATATTAAATTTTAAACAGAAAGAGCAAATTATTTTTGGGTTGGTAGAAATTTTCGGAGCTGTAAAAACGCAAGTGTGAACTACGGTCGTGAGGCTCGCGAAAATTTATTGTAATTTATTGTGGTTCATGAAAATGAAAGCATTAATGACCGTTAATATATTTATATTTAGCTATGCAGAAAGCCGTAACTTTATTCGAAAACTAGTAGACTTGTTCCTAAACTAAAACTTTCGAATACCTGAGCAGCGATCGTTGCAAAGTATTCACTAGGAAAAATCGATGGACTTCCGTTTGAAAATCCAATGAATGAATAGGTATTATTTCGCAAGTGTAGTGGAAAATCGATTAATGACAAAGAATTTACGTTCAAGATCAATACTAATTTACCAAAGATCAATACTATTAGTTTTTTTTATTTGTAGATATTGCAGAGTTAAACGAGATTTAGCATCTGAATAGCTGAAATTTTTTAACATTTTTATGTGCTCATTTTACTATAATTTAGCATAAATTCAAGTAATTAGTTAAAACTAGCTTATAATAATCTATTGAAATTTGAAAACCTAACAAAATAGACTTATTACTTTCCTTCTTCAAGCCATTTTAAGCAGTTAAGGTAGAAAATGAACTTTCTACCGCACATGCGAAACATGTATTTTGATTCTCAAATTTATTTGCACTCTAAAGTCCTTATGAAGGATATGAAGCATTCGTTTCGTCCTTATTTCAGGCTCAGCTTAGGATTTTTTAAGAAAATTAAGTATTATTCTGAAATTATTTACGTACATTTTGGCAAATGATTTAAAAATTACATATTCCTCATTGTTATACATGCTTTCTTTCTTATACATCATAAATGTCCTATAAAACTGTGTGGCCGATGAAATAAAACGAAAGAGTAGCCCATGGAAAGAAATTTTTGGTCGTCAGAAGAAAAAATTTTGATGAGATACCAATATACAGAAAAAAGTATTTTTCCGGCTTCTATAATTCGTTTACCTTGTGCAAAGGAATTTTTCGCACCTGCCTAATGGCAATGTTAAAAAAAATGATTACTAATTCTGGAAGTATGATTGAAATAATGAGGGAAGTAAAACCAACATTATCCTCTGAGATTAAGTTTTCTTAAAAGTATCAGAGCTTTTTCAAAGATTAAAATTAAAAATATATCGAGTTACCTAGCTACTAAGTTCACAGTTCACCCTTGATTGAACCTAATGGTTCAATCAAGGGTGGTTCAATTCTAATTCATCCTAATGGTTCAATTAAAAGTTCATGGGTGAACTTCTAATTTTCGCAATTTTACAAACATTTTAACCCCTGTGAAGTTCACCCTCAGGTAAAATTTAAATTTTAATAATGCAATTCACCTTCAAGCCTCCCCACTTTTGAAACACAATACAACACTATTAATAAAATTTCAACGCTATAAAATTACGTAATATCATGTGTTTCAGTGGTGACATCATGACAAACTACAGGGAGATAACGCCTTTTTTTAGTAGTAGTTTTAGTTTAGATAACGCCTTTTTTTTAGTGGTAGTTTTAGTTTAGTTAACGCCCTTTTTAGTACGTAACGCGGCTGGTGTTTGGTAAATGTTAATTGCAAATTTATAGCAGTTTAATTACGTTCTAAAAAATTAATTTTACTTTTGATGTTCAAAAGGAGTTGAATGAGTAAGATATGTTACTTGTGGGCTTAACCAGGTCTTCTCTTATTAATATCACAATAGTTTGAAAATTTGTAACGTAATTAATACATATTCATGGGATGCAGGAATAGTGGGATTCAAAATAGCGGAATTCTCAAATTTTATGTATACTATTTTCCACAGGCAAAGCCAGGTTTTGCCACCAATATTGAAACAATATAACATAATTCTTATTATATGTTATTGCTCGACATGGAAATTTCAGCCTATCAAATTATCGAAAATATCCTACGTACTAGCTGGGCCGCGAACTCGACTGAAGTTTGCAGATACAGCATTAACGATATTCGCTGCTGGAAATTTATTTATGTCAGGGCCTGGAAAATCTACAAAGATGTAGCTGTTATTCATTGTTAAAGTTCTTAGGCACTATAATACTCAAGTGTGTAGTATTATTTGTTGTAGTTGAATTGCATTTTCATGATCTTAATCATTTGTTGACTATTCTTCCTATTCCTAATAATTTCTCAATTATATGTGTCACGAATTGGATATTAATTTTCACTTAAATATTTCTCCAAGTTTTTAATCACATAAATGAAGCTTACGGTTTCTTAATTTGAGTCGCTATAATAGTTTGAGACACGATCGAGTTTTCGAATTCATCTTTTCGAAGGTTTCATTAATAAATATTGGAATAATAACATAGTGATGTCGGCGCTGAGGAGTAGGCCTGGTGTGGCCTGTCGCCGATTCTCACTTCTCGTGACTTGTTCACAGAAGATTTGTGAACAAGTCACGGGTTCGATATGGTGCTAGGCATTTCAAGTCTGAACATTTTTTCCATAGCTTTATCTAGTCTGTTCTTGAACGCGTTCATACTTGGAGCGCCAACGATGTCATCGGGGAGGTTGTTCCACATGTCGGTGATTCGAAGCGAGAAGAAATGTTGTCGCGTGGAGAAGTTCCAGCGCAGCTTTTTTGTTTATAGCCGTGGCCCCTGGTGTTGGTTCTCGTTTCAAATTACAACTACAATTCAAATCGTTCAGTAATCACACTTTTAAGAGCCAAGTTTTCAAATATTTTTATTCGTACATGCGTGTCCAAAAACATTTCAAACCGGCAAATCACAAGCTCCTCCTCCATTTTGCAACCCTGAGTTCCCGACGGAAATTTTTCAACAGTGCCAGCAATTTCTGTCGCAGCTTCAGTGGCAGTTAGGAAAATCCTCTTTCCTCACAGTGATTGGGAGCCTCTGCCTTCATTTGGGCGGCTATTGTTTTTCCGTTGAAAGTCTCGGATGTTGCTCAAAGGAATCCAGGGCAACTTGAGAGAACTAATCTCCGGAGTCGCTTCTTTAGATGAAATTCAATTCCAGGCCTCGATCGCACGGCAGGAATGTAAGACCGAGTGCGGCAATGCCTGCGTATATCGAGGAATTCGCTGGCAAGTCAAAATACCCGAGTACAAATTCTTCGGTGAGTGGGGACAATTTTGGGTTTAATCTTGAGGAAATTAGGAGTGGTGTGCTTCAAGAAGGCGTTTGAAATTGACAAAAGAAAATCATTACTCCTCCATTGGAGAGCTTGTGGAATCATTTTGCTTGGGACTGATTGGAATCGCTTTCCAATGAGGATTTGTTGTGTTGCAATAGTAATGAAACATTCACAATTTGAAAGTTATTTATTACGATTTTTCTTTTTACTGCCTGTCAATGGAATGCGTTGCGAAGTGAATACACTTAATGGAAAAGAAATGTCATGGTCCGGTACGGTCAAATCGGGGCGTTGTGTAATACTAACAAGCAACGCATACAATTATCTAAGTTCGCAGTAGTGCCATGAAAACAAAATATTGTAGAAATATAGAAAGTTTATTGCAAAATCTTAACATTTAAATAGAGTAAGTGATATTCTAGGCGATTAGAGTGCGAAGTTGAACAGTCGGATATCATTGTATTCATTGAAACATTTTTTATGAGGGTTAAATATTTGGCTTATGCCGACACCTAAAACAGAGTTTTGAAATTAGAACAATATCGCTGATTGTAGAAAAAAAAAATTGTGATGAAAATTTCGTTGTGAATAGGCTATGTTCATAACCTGGAAATGTCATACAGTAAAACTTAACTTCCAGCTTATATAATTTCCCTTCAGCTTATGAAGAAAACGAAATTTACAGAAATTGTCAGTCCATTAACATTTTTGCTCGGCCAAAAGTAATCCAGGAACTGAATTGGAATGCTATAATATGTTTATTAAAATATTTTAAACGAAGATCATTATTATGTTTATTTGTCAATCGATAATCAATCTATCGACACGAAAATGAAAAGTATAAAATCATGTATTAAAACGACTGTATCTGTCTTCAAATAAGTTGAAATAATTAATTTATTCTAATTATCAAGTATTTCTTAAATTTCTCAATTGTATTCTGTGCTACTCAGGTCTTGCATATCCCTGGGATTTCAGAAAATGTTAGGGCAAGATTCGATTGCCACAAGATTTTTTATGGCAAACAAATAATTTTGCAACCAATTAATTATGCAATCATAACAGTTCGTTATCAAACGACATTGCAATCCAACGACTTCGCAATCAAAGAATTTCGCGACCAAATGATTTCACTTGCAACCAAATGATTTGGAACAAAATGCTTTTGAAACCAAACGATTTCACAGAAAAATAATTTCGCAAAAAATTTCTTTGCAGCCAATTATTTCGCAGCAAAATGATTTCGATTCCAAACGATTTCGCTATCAAGTTATTCCGTTCCCAAATGATTCCGCTACAAAATGATTTCGATTCCAAACGATGTCACAACCGAATTCTACTCGACAACCTTCGTGGCAATCCAGTCCAGGTACCGGGAGACCTCGCTGTAGACGCCTGGTCTGTCAGCCCTCGCGCACTCTATTCCCCAGGACACAACACCCACCACGTACCACGTCTTGGACTCACCAAGCTGCGTCAATAGAGGACCACCAGAGTCTCCCTGAAAATCGGATTTGATCAAAAATTTTAGTATTTTTTATGGAAAAATGATTTTATACTGCAATGCGTTCACAATCAATAGGAAATATTGATTACATCTGATCTGATACAGAATCTTATCCCCATTTGATATTGATTCTATCAGGCAGGGATAAGATTTTGCAAAACGTTGAAATTTTTATTTATACGAGTCAATTAGGTCAGGATTTAGGTTAGCAAGTCGGTAAAAATTATTTTTTGATAAAACATTCAAACTGAGTGAACGACAATCGTGCGGCATACATGTGATATGTCTGTATAGTTTAAAAAATCTAACTCAGTACTCACTGCAGTGAGTGACAGAGAGCGCATTTTCTCGTCGACGAAAACGTGAAGTCACGGACGGACGGACGGACGGACGGACGGACGGACGGACGGACGGACAGACAGACAGACGGACAGACAGACGGACGGACGGACATGACGAGCACAATAGTGCATTTTTTTCCATAAATGAGAAAATGCGCTAAAAATGATTAAGAATCACCTGGCAGGAGTCCTTGCCGCCCTTCTTAAGCCCCGCACACATCATGTTCGGGAAGACCTTGCCGGGGTAAGACGTCTCACAGTCGGCCGCCGTCCACACCGGCACCTGAACTTCCCGCAACACGTTGCTCACCGCCCCTCCAAACGCCGTGGTGCCCCAGCCTGTACAGGAGGACAAGTTTCAGATTCATGTATTATTTTACATTCGACCGTGGTCTACTACCGGCACCTGAACTTCCCGCAACACGTTGCTCACCGACCCTGCGAACGCAGTGGTGCCCCAGCCTGTACAGGGGGACAAGTTTCAGATTCATGTATTATATTATATTCGACCGTGGTCTACTATCGGCACCTGAACTACCGGCACCTGAACTTCCCGCAACACGTTGCTCACCGACCCTCCGAACGCAGTGGTGCCCCAGCCTGTACAGAGGGGCAAGTTTTAAATTCATGTATTATATTACATTCGACCGTGGTCTACTACCGGCACCTGAACTAACGGCACCTGAACTTCCCGCAACACGTTGCTCACCGCTCCCCCGAACGCCGTGGTGCCCCAGCCTGTACAGGGGGTGGAGTTTTAGATGCTTGTGCTGCTGTTCAGTGACACGCGCAGTAAAATATTGGAATCCGTCAATGCAAAGAGAGAAAAGGAACAAAAGAATTATAGAAGGATTTTTTCAGGCAATGAACTTGATATTATCCATAAGCAATGACATCACAACTTGGGAAATTAATTATATTAGATTATTACGCATGCCAGCAGCTTGATGCTATGCAGAAGCAGTGACATCAGAAGCCTTAGAAGTAATTATGTCGTTGGGTTAATAATTATGACATTCGTGAAACGAGGTCCTTTAATTTCGAGAACAATTTCCGACCAGGTTTTCTGGTAGAAACGTTATTGAAAGTCTCATTGAAAGGGTCATTCAAGCGAGACCAGACATATAGCAGACAAACGGACAAACGGCCCATATACTACCTTCTTAGTCTCAGAATTATATTGACTTCAAAATACATTTCTGCGTTTCCAAAAATTTGACCTGACAACAGTCACTGCGTATCATTATTTTTCCTATGGTAAAAGTGTCATCCATTTACGTAATTTCGAGACTTTAGAAAATAAAGAAAAATAATTAATGATTGCAATGGACATGCTGAAGACGGCAAAACTTGAAGTCTGACAACATAAGTGAGAACAATTTCTTATTTAATGTATAGGCAACGTGCCTGTCGGAAGTTTACGAAAACACTGAATGTAAAAAATTACGTTACCGATGACATATGCAATGAGTCCCTCTACAGGAGTGGGCGGCGGCGGCATGGAGATTGGTGAATCGGAAAACTAACTATCTATCATGTTAATAATATGAGATTTTTATATTTATTATTGTTATAGATTGTTAAATCGGAAAACTAACTATCTATCATGTTAATTATATGAGATTTTTATATTTATTATTGTTATAGATTGGTGAATCGGAAAACTAACTATCTATCACGTTAATTATATGAGATTTTTATATTTATTATTGTTATAGATTGGTAAATCGGAAAACTAACTATCTATCATGTTAATTTTATGAAATTTTAATATTTATTATGTTACGTTACCTATGACATATGCATTGAGTCCCTCTACAGGGGTGGATGGCGGGGGCAGACAGACTGGCTGCACGAAGGCGCTCAGGGTGACAGCTCGGTCCAGGCGTAGCACAGCGATGTCGTTCTCCTGTGTCTGCGTGTTGTACCTGCGCCATAGAAATATCATGTTAATCTTCACTATTATTACTAAGCTTGGAGAAAAATGAAGTTTGGGAATATAACTTATATCTATTGATTTCAAGACCATATAAGCCTACTGGCCTATTTATTAATCCATTAATTTTTCCATGCATCAGTCACTCCTGGAAACTATCACCTCCAGTAGTTGTGGAAAGCTAGGGTACTGATATAATGTTACCTTTTAACCACAGGAAAATAAGTTAAAACAACGTTTATTTCGAGAAGATTTCGTAGCAATCACGTTTAATCAGCCGTATTTCAACTCCAGATGCCTGCAGCGTACTTAATTAAAAGAAGCGAATTGAATGTAGGTATGGAATGTTATGTAGGTATGGAATGTTATGTAGGTATGGAATGTTATGTAGGTATGGAATGTTATGTAGGTATGGAATGTTATGTAGGTATGGAATGTTGTGATTGTCATGACGTTATTGGATTACTTCGTCCGCGCACTCATTGAACCTTTGTGGTGCACATGAATGTGCGTTAGAATAGAGGTAGGTGCTGTACTTATTTATATCAAGAGGGATCCATAAAGATTTTTCCCTTTACACACTGTAGTTCAAACTGAAAATTTACATAAATAATAAATTTCTTAAACAATTATTATATTCAGTTATAATTTACCAGCATGGGGATGCATTTTCTATAATTAAACACGCATAAGAACGATCGGGTGTCATCTATGGCAATGGAGGAATAAATGATGCAATTGGCTGATTATGTCTAGAAATCAAGTTATACAAGAAAAAAATGGTTAAGAGTATCCCCGAAACTTCATTTTCCAAAACCTAGTGTTAGGAGCGATTTACATCCATCACAAACATTTTTTCACGCACAGAAATTGATTCAACATCAATCACAAGTTCACTTCAATGCGTACGCTTTCTTCTATGCTTCGATTTTGTAATCACAAATGCATAGAAGGCTAAGTTCCATTCATCAACCAATACTCCATAATTTCTCCTTGTTTTATGCATTCCATCACCACACCCCTCCTCTGCTCTGACTCAGGCTTGCGCATCCATTTGAATAGCGCACTCATCCATCTCCATAGCGATGCTCCGGAATTCTCGCTGCTATAGCCAGTATTAGCATAGGAGGCGTCTATCGCAGACCTCGTATGAGCCAATTTGCCGCAATGACGGGTGGGATTGACGCAAATTTACTTCTCTTCCTATAGCACAACAACGTAATTATTTCCAGCACTGCAATGCGAGCTGCAGCTATTCAAGACTGTATCAAAGCATCGTGAATGACTTGCAGTGATCGGCATTGAGTGGAGAGGTCGTTTGCATTCAATGTAGTCTATAATTTTCAGTTTGGTCAAATTATGAAATCAAACTGAATTGTGTGATGATGAATTATTCTAATAAAGCTACAAACAATTATGAGCGCAATACATCCAAAATGTATATCGATCCAGCTTCAGTTTCGAACGCCTGTTAATTGACTTAGAATTGTATAAATTTATTAACAAAGATAAAAAAGAGCTATGCATCGTTCAAATGCCATGCATTAGAAAGAGGGTCGTGTAGAGACAGCATGTCTTATGAGGAAGTCCAATTTGTCGTGTTTTCCAAAAAAACTGCCAAATTCCAAGAAAATATCCGAAAACATCAACAGGACGAATGATTTTCAAAACTGTGGAGCTAAACGAGGTTGATTTCATTTACATGTTTGCGCCCACGTCCACTTACCGCGATAATTTCCTCCTCTAAATCCCGGCAACCGTCATTTCAAAATCTGATTCAAGGCAATTTGATCTAATCTTCGCAAATGCAGCGAGTGCCTCATTTGATTCCCGATTGGTGGTGCGAAGCTGCGTCAACATGTCTGCTATTTTTCGACGTGCGATCGTATCATGAATAAACAGGATGAATTTATTCGCAAACGAGAGCCTAACCTCATGTCATGAATAAATGCTGATTTATTTATCTCGTTAATAATTAACTGAAACATTAAAATTGTATAAAATGTTAACTAAATTAAATTAGAATTTCGTTAACAATTAACTTCGGCGCAGCGTACGTCCATTCTCGACACAGCATAAAAAATTGATGATTTTTCAAAATATTTACATGGTCAAAAAGGAGTAAGTTGAAAACAACCTATTAGATATGTGTCAATTCGAAATTAAAATTCTCCTGTACTGAATAAAACTTTAAAAGCGGCCGTTTTGAAAACTTACTGTTCATGAGACTCAATGTCCGCAACGTTGTAGTCGGAAGGATTGTTGTCGGTCGTCTGCTGGAAATCATACTCGCCAACACGCACTTTGATTTCCGATGAACTGAACCTGTGAAAAATTCAAGTAGAAATCAAATATCAGCAAATTACCTTATATAAATTGCATGCCAGACAAAACTGTAATTAAAGTTATGATCAGAGAGGACATTGCAAGATTCGCGAACAATCTAGAATGCCTTGCTACAATGTAAGCCACAAACGGCAAACTGCACGACGTAGTGAAATGCAGTGAGACTTACTGCACGACGCAGTGAGCGGCAGTGAGACTTACTGCACGACGCAGTGAGCGGCAGTGAGACTTACTGCACGACGCAGTGAGACTTACTGCACGACGCAGTGAGCGGCAGTGAGACTTACTGCACGACGCAGTGAGCGGCAGTGAGACTTACTGCACGACGCAGTGAGCGGCAGTGAGACTTACTGCACGACGCAGTGAGACTTACTGCACGACGCAGTGAACAGCAGTGAGACTTACTGCACGACGCAGTGAGCAGCAGTGAGACTTACTGCACGACGCAGTGAGCAGCAGTGAGCACATGCTTCTCAGTGATCAGAGCGCCACCGCAGTATTGGTTGTTGTTGCTACTCTGCAGCAGCGCTGCCATCCACGGCCAGTCGTCTGGGTTGGCTGGTCGGCCTCCGACGATGCGCACGTTGTTGTTGATGTTCTTTTTTGGGTTCTGGCCGCAGGCTGCAACGATATTTAAGCTCCAATGAGTGAATTTATTACTGGAATGAATACATTAGATCGATATATTATCAGTAAGTAAAAGAGGGTGGTATTAACTGGAGTGATTCATGAAGTGTAACTACTTTTCGTTTGTTAGGTCGCAAAATACGTAAACTTTGATTATTATCCGTTAAATTTTTACGGCATTTTTACTGGCTTCATCATTTTACGAAAGTAAATTATTCACTTCTACATAAATGTGACGATTTCTTGGGGGTTAACAATAATGCATGGTATTAACTGCTTATTCCACCATTTAAAGGGCATGCATATGACAAAGTTTACACGTGATAGCCGAAAGAGACGTTTTGGCCGAAAAATTTATGTTGATAAAAAATTTTATAACTATTTAAAACAGTATGATGCAACATATGCATCACCAATCTGTGCTGCCAGAATACGACAACAAACACAGAAAAGAAACAGATACAAATTGAATATTGTAACAGGGAGAACATCTAGATTCCAGAGAAGTGTCGATAGGAATCTCATAATCAAAAGTAATTTCACTTCTAAAGTGAAGTTGAACTCGAACGAGGTGCAAAAATACGGGGTTTGACTCAACAAATTATGAATTCAGCGTTGTAAGAGCGCAGTGCGCACGTGTACAGGTGTAAAAGAAATCAACTATTATATTAAGATTAAGCCATACGTGTAATTACAAATATGCTTTCAAAATTTTAAATTTTACTGAATGTTTTTTTATCGTAAAAATAAACATTATATCGATTTTTCGATCATTCTGCCGAGAAACTTTAATAAATGTCATATAAATCCATCGTCATCATTCTCTGCCTGATATGATTAGAGGTCCCGAGAACAAATATTTTAAATGACAATCAACGTTATATGGTGGCAGTTTTTTTTTCAAATATTATTCAAAATATGCGATTTGAATATCATTCAAATATTCAGTTTTTTCAAATTTTATATCAAATATTAAATAATAATTCTTGTGGGGGGAATTCCTACTCACATCTGAGTTGACCTGGCGTAGTAGGAGCCGTAGGAGCTGTAGGAGCAGTAGGAGTAGGAGTAGGCAGTGCTGTGGCTGCGGGAGGCGGAAAATGTTTTACACTGCGATAAGAATATTAAACACGATAAAATACGATAAATCTATGAACTGAGATGCAATACGATACGAATATTAAACACGATAAAATACGATAGATCTATGAACTGAGATGCAATACGATACGAATATTAAACACGATAAAATACGATAGATATATGAACTGAGATGCAATACGATACGAATATTAAACACGATACAAGACGCTAAAAATATGAACTCAGATGCAATACGATTACAATATTAAATACGATACAATACGATACAAATATATACTCAGATGTTATATGGAACGAACATTAAATTCTAGACAATAAAGTTAGAATTTGCAATGAGATTCAATGCGGTAAACAGATGCAAATCTTGAAAGTGAATGGAACCATTCTGGAAAAATCCGAGTAGCGAAAGTTGTGATTTGAAACACGGCCAATATTTCAATGAAATAAATGCATTTCGAAAACGTTAACGTCAATGACGATGTTCCCGGATTCATTGGTGGAGTCATAACTTGTTAGGTTTTAACGAACCCATCAGGAATATCATTAGTGATTTATTTTAGACTGATTAATTTTGGACCTTTAAGTTATCTGTATTAGATCCCGAATGTGATCACTTTCTCAGAGCAAATACATATGATTTTAGAAAATAATTCAAATTAATATTTGTCTTGATAATTTAGCAAGTTCTGAGTACTATCAGGCGTTCCGAATTCTTTCCTAATTAAATTATACAGCACAAAAACCATAAAATAAATTTAATCAATGTAATATATCAATTATTTTAGAAGCTTTACAATTCTCGCTTATAGTTTAGTATAGTTTAGTATAGTTTATAGTATAGGTAGTAAAAAATCGCAAAGAATTGTTCAGACAATAATTTCTCACGTTGACAAGCGTTTCCGTTGACGAGAGTGAAGCCAGGCCCGCAGAGGCAGGCGAATGAGCCCGGCAGGTTCTGGCAAGACTGTGCGCAGTTGCCATTGTTGACGGCACATTCGTTGATGTCGCTGCATGTCCGACCGTCGCCGTTAAGGCTCTAAATACGACACAAATATCAGTCATGTTTTCATTTTTTGAACCGTTGATATATAAAATTAATTAAAATATAACAGGAATAAGTGATGTTGTCAATTTTTGAACCGTTTAAATAAAAAATTGTATTATAATATGACTGATATCAGTCATGTTTCATTTTTTGAACCGTTTAAATAAAAAATTGTATTATAATATNTACACATCTAGATGTGTATAAGAGACCAGAAATCAGCCATGTTTTCATTTTTTTAACCGTTGATGTAAGAAATTGTATTATAATGACAGAAATCAGCCATGTTTTCATTTTTTGAACCGTTGATATTTAAAATTAATTAAAATATAACAGGAATAAGTGAGGTTGTCATTTTTTGAACCGTTGATATAAAAAATTATTTTATAATATGACAGAAATTTGTCATGTTTTTTTTGAACCGTTGAGATGAAATATTGTATTATAATATGACAGAAATCAGCTATGTTTTCATTTTTTGAACCGTTGAGGTGAAAAATTGTATTACAATATAACTGAAATCAGTCATGTTTTCATTTTTTGAACCGTTCATTTGGAAAATTGTATTTAATATTATACATTTGATATTCAACTGTGTTATTAAATTGAATATCGTATTTTATATACTTTGCTAAGAAGAGAAAATGTTGTCAAACCGAAAGGAAAAAGAGCTTCCATATCGATCTTCAACTTTAAAATTAAAGAATTTCCATGACAAAAAAATTGTATTAATTAAATGGTTGAAAATATAAGAAGGTATATGTTTATTAGTTAGAATAGTTCTCAACATCTTCTCATAAGTTTACCGTAACTTCTCTTTTATTCTTTCACAAAAATCGTTCAAAAGAATTCCCGGGGGAAATAATGTCTTCCATCTTAATATATCTGAGAACAGTTGCAATTTTGGAATTGAATTTACGCATGGTCTTTCTGGAATACGCAACTCAATCTTTGGTAAATTATAAAAAATAAAAAGAAGTACTATTAATTTCAGGCCAGATATGCTTAGAAGCGGATAACTTGACTTTATTATTTTTAATTCCAGAATACATAGCAGAAAACATAGAAGCCGATAATTTTCTACATTGCTCGAAGGTCTTATCAGAAAAAATGTACAATTTTTTACATTGCTCGAAGCTCTTATGAGAAAAAATGTAAGGAAATCATCACCAGCCCGACAAATGTATACCGTAGCATTGCTCACATATCCAGGGTTACATCCACAAGCGATACCACCAGCGCTGGGACTACAGGTTTGTTCGCAGCCGCCGTTGTTGGTCCCACAGCTCGCGACGGCGGCTGAACAGGTGCGACCGTCCTGTAGGAGGGTTCCTCCAGAGGGGCAACTGCAGGAGTAACTTCCTTCAGAGTTGGTGCACTTCTGGCTGCACCCGCCGTTTCCGACTGAAAATGAAAAAATTGCGACCATAACGCTAAAAAATAAAACTCAGTACTCACTGCAGTGAGTGACAGAGAGCGCATTTTCTCGTCGACGAAAACTTGAGGTCACGGACAGACGGACGGACAGACGGACGGACAGACGGACAGACAGACAGACAGACAGACGGACATGGCGAGCACAATAGTGCATTTTTTCCATAAATGAGAAAATACGCTAAAAATATTCAAATATTTCTATCCTGTGGAGAAGTTTTTGTTTAAGTTAAAGCTTCCTCGAGTTTACTTGCGAGTTTGAACACTTTTAACTACAACAGCCATTCCCAACTGAAAATAAAATAAATATAACTCAGTACTCACTGCAGTGAGTGACAGAAAGCGCATTTTCTCGTCGACGAAAACGTGAAGTCACGGACGGACAGATGGAAGGACAGACGGACATGGCGAGCAGCATAGTGCATTTTTTTCCATAAATGAGAAAATGCGCTAAAAATTGCAACAATCACGCTATAAGAAAATATTCAAGTATGCTTTTCTGTATTACTAAGACAGGTTTTTATTTCAAGTTCAAGCTTCCTCGAGTTTCCTTGCGAGTTTGAATACTTTTGACAACAACCGCAGTTTCCGACTGAAAAATGCCAATTATTTGCCTGTAAAAGCTATATAAGTATTTTAGTCTGCATTTTAAGACTAATTTTAACTTCAAGTTGCAAGATTTGTTCGAGGTCAACCTATTTCAAGTTTTTAACTCACAAGAGGAAGCAATAGAATTCGATTTTTCAACATAGAGGTTGGAATGTCAGTTGACTCACAGTCACACTCGTTGAGGTCACGACACGAGCGGCCATCACCAATGAGGTTAAATCCTTGATTGCAGAAACATCGGACGCCTTGGAAAGTTTGCTGGCAAATCTGAATAAAAGGAAGGTTTGCGCTACAAACATGAAAAGACTTGTTAACAAGTCATGAACATGACTTTTGTTAAAAAGTTGTTACAAAAGTTGTTAACTACAAGTTGTTAATTTGTTAGTTGTTACAAGTTGTTAACTACAAGTTGTTAACAAGTCATGAACATGACTTTTGTTGACAAGTTGTTACAAAAGTTGTTAACTACAAGTTGTTAACAAGTCATGAACATGAATTGTTAACTTTGTTGGCTAAGCTAATATACACAAAATATTTTCTGCAGCTCCATCAATTGTGTTCAGAACAAGTAGAAGAAATGACAGTTGATTGAAAAATTTAAAAATTTAGATCTATTTTTTTATGATTAATCATATTTTACTCACTATATTGCATATGCTGGAATTTTTATAAAGCATATTATTTTTGGATGATGCTGATAATTAGGTGCTTATAATAATAGTGAGGTACTTTTAAAAAAAATTATGTCAGGTGAGGTACTTTACAAAATTACTGAAATAAATGATTTTGTGGACAATAATAAAAATATATCATGCATAACACAAGCGAAGCGAACAAACGATGGCCTAGTCTATGATGGCAAAATTGAGGGCATTAATAACAGGCAGGTACAAGCATATGGTAATTCTTCCTACGTTGGGTTGAATTTAAATTAATGGAGCTGATACGACACAAAAGTCTACGGATATTGCAATGAATATTTGAGTAGCTTAGCGTACATTATCCTCGCGAGAATGTTTGTTATTTGTTAGAGAAGGGATAACACGTAAAGCATGCAAACTAGAACTTAAAATTTGATTGAAGTTGGCCGAGTGGTTAGAAATCTGCCGTAGGTCAGCATGATATTATCAAAGTTGAAATTATTATACTATTATTTGTATAGTAATAAAAGTGATAGAAATTAATTAACGGTAAATAGTACAGTTGAGGAGAATAAATAAAAAAACTTTATGACAAGCAAAATAGTGTCGATATAAAAATTCACAGATCTACAATAAAAAAAGATGCTGTAAAAACGCATAAGTAATGTGTACGAGAAGCTGAGGCAGCAATCGCCCATGTAACATGTACATAACAGCAGCTATAAAGACACGGACAATAAAATGTGATATTTACAGCCTAGCACAAGTGATCACATTCTAAACACATGTGCAAGAATCAACCAAAACTAGAATATACGATTAAAATACCGAAATATTACGGACCGACGGAATAAGTAAAACGGATAAATTAATGTACAAAAATATGACTGAATAATTAATGGCAGGTAAAGCATAATTTTATATAAACGCCGGGAGAAAAAATAAAAGACAATTGTTGCCTCCCAAATAAAATAGCTCTACATGACAATCTACTGAATTTCTTCCGTCACTTGAGTAAACCATAGAAAAAATATATGATGTACATGATATCGAGTTGATATCTATACGTTGAACATGATGTCGAGTTGATATCTATACGTAGAACATGATGTTGAGTTGATATCTCTACGTTGAACATGATGTTGAGTTGATATCTATACGTAGAACATGATGTTGAGTTGATAGTTATACGTTGAACATGATGTTGAGTTGATATCTATACGTAGAACATGATATTTGAGTTGGATATCTATAAGTTGAACATGATGTCGATTTGACATCTATAAGTTGAACATGTTGTCGATTTGATATCTGTACGTTGAACATGATGAGTTGATATATATACGTTGAACATGATGACGAATTGACATCTATAAGTTGAACATGTTGTCTATTTGATATCTCTACGTTGAACATGATATGGGGTCCGGACACCGCGAGCGTATTTTGGCAACCGAAATAACTGGAACATTTAGAGAATTTCTGCCGTTACTGCAATTGCTAACTCATTTCAAAAGAACAAAGAAGCCACACAAAAATGGTCGAAAATCCACAATATTTTAGCCATTATTTCGGTGAAAGGAATTTCCGAGAAATGTGGAGCCAACTGTCAAAAACCTGGTCACTGCTGCAGAAAAACGTTATGAACGAGTCACAAATTCTTGGCTGTACAGAATTCAATTTGATTTTTAAGTAAAATTTATTCTTAAAATGGAGTTAAATTTTTACAAATTGAATTCTCGCAGGCGATTCACAAGCAGAGGATCTCAAATTATAAATGTAAGCTGAGCGAATTTTTATTAAAATACTCGGATAAATGAGTACTAATAAAATGTAGATGAATTTAATATTAATGCATGTTAACAATTTAACAATGAACGTTATAATGATTATAGGAAAGGTATAACTCTTAAAACAGAAATTGATGAAAATTTAGAATGGGAATAATTTATTATTAAGAAATGCTAAGTTAGATTTGTAAAGAAATGTTCATTTCAGAATTCTCATTGAATTCAGTCTTAGTTTTTTATTTTTCAGTTGCAGCATCTGCATTGGTTCAAGCTTACCAGTTGCAGATTCTCCAAAAGCCTCTAATCATTTGGTTTTCTTGGCTGCAAAACAAGGAAATTCTTCTCAATCATTTGATTTGATATCAAATAGAGTGAGAAATGATTTCTTCTGTGTCATTTGATAGAAGACGTGCATAAGCCTTAAATTCATGCTGAAAATAAGAAAAAACACCGAAATAATAGTAAAAATATTGCTATACAAGTTGGCACGTGCACCGTACAGCCATCCAATCAATTTGAAAAGAGTTTCTATCCTGGATGTCAGGATAGCTTAGTTTTCTATGCATTGAGCTTAAAAGTGAAATAAATAATTTAGTTTGTCTTTCTTTGGCATCTGGTGCTGGGGAAAAGACTTCCAGCGCATGAATTCGATGGCATCTAAATATTTAGTACACGCAATAATTCGAGATCATGTTTTTTATAAAAAAGGGTTGGACTGTTGCAATATTAGTGATTGAATTAATTTTAAAGGACTTATATCATCAGTCTGTTTATATCGCCAGTTCACAAGGAATTTAAAAGCAAAGAAAACGCCAAGAAAATTCGATTCGATCGATATGGTGAATTTTCTTAGCGTTTTCTTTGCTTTTAAATTCCTTGTGAATTTTAAAGAACCCGTGGAAAATTGATAAACATTAAAAAAGTTAACTCAGTACTCACTGCAGTGAGTGACAGAGAGAGCATTTTCTCGTCGACGAAAACTTGAGGTCACGGACGGACGGACAGACGGACGGACAGACAGACAGACAGACGGACATGGCAAGCACATTAGTGCATTTTTTCCATAAATGAGAAAATGCGCTAAAAATGTGTTCAGACACGAAAATGTCACCAGTCATAAATCTTGACCCAGATAGTCCGTTTGTTTATTACGCAAAGTAGCCAATAAATGGGTATTCAGTATCGATCGTCTCTAAACCACGACATAAAAATGTTACGTTAAATTTAAATTCAAAACGGCAACAAATTATAGGAATACCATCAGGAAATGCTGCTTCAAGATAGAAAGTTTTCCGTTAAATAATTGTGAAATTGAAATAACAAACATCCAATTGCTGCTTGAATGACACACAGTGTGAAAATGAAATAAATTGAAAAATACAACTAATGTAAAAAACTAGGAATCTGGTAAATGGATCTGTGAAATATAAATGTCCATTTACACACATAAACATCAATACAAATGTCTATTTACACACACCTATAGGAACTTAATGTTAACCACGCAATCGTACGGTGAACACGCCTACGGTATTTGGGCTAGCTACTAAGTAAATTTTCTAACTAAAATAAAAATAAATATTTTAGAGCATTACTGAAGTTGCTGAAGGTAGAAAAATAATTCGTGCGGATTTATCTAGTTAACACTTCATTATTACTAGTGTTTAGTTTTAACGTAATGAAAATTTTTGAAACAATAATACATTTAAGTACTGAAGCAATTAAAGTTTCGTTCATTACTCTATAGTACTTAATTTTTCATGAAAATTTGATCAAAACTGATCTCAAAAGTTTTAGAAAGTCGCTGACACTAAAAAGTTGCATTGAGCGATGCACTTCAATGGTTATAAATGATGACTCGTCGGAGAATTGTTGCCAGAATGCGGCAATATAATGTCGGAATTGGTTAATGTTATTTTAAAGAACACGAAGCAAAGCGTCAAATAGATGTAATGAATGTAACATATCATTAAAGGTGTATGCTGAGGAAAGTCCTTGAGAATATTGTATTTATACTGTACAAAATTAAATCATGCTTAGTTTAACGTACTGTTTGGTGTGGCATTTGGAACGGTGGCGTTGTCGAATCACGAACTTTTGCAAATTTGAAAGCCGTTGTGCAAAATGGTGCTATTTCCATTGCTTAAAAACACATGCTTGTAGAAAATACTACTGTGTTGCTGGAACGGTGCAGGATGCCATTGCGAACATCAGTTGAAAACAATGCGCTTGACGTGTAAATCATGGATTGGGAGGGCCTCACTTGTTGACATCCGCCGTTTATGAGCCAACAAACTGCAGGGAAGATAATAGGCTTGGCAGTAGTGGTGCTGGTCGTTGTAGTGGTCGTCGCTTGAGTCGTCGGGACTGTTGAAGTACTCGACAACGTGACAGGTCGTTGGGTAGTTCTAGTGGACGCCTGAGTTGTTGTAGGTCTTGGTGTCGTCGTAGGATAAATACATTTCCCTTCTGAACTTATCACCTGTTCTGGTTGACACATGCAGCGGAAAGATCCATCAGAATTGAAGCATATTTCTTGACAATTTCCGTTGTTCACCAAACATTCGTTGATATCCACGCAAGCGAGTCCATCGTTGGCCAACACATATCCATCCCGGCACTGACATTGAAAACTTCCATCGGCGTTGATGCATCGTTGCTGACATCTTCCGTTTTCAATGAGACATTCGTTGATATCAAGACATGAGCGTTGGTCTGGTTGAAGTTGGAACCCACTGTCGCACTCACATTTTGCGCGGCCTTGAGCTAAAACGCAGCGCTACACACCACAGCAGAGGTGAAATTTCCATTTAATGGGCCATCGGAGAAATCATTGGAGCTATGCAAGTCAAATTTCAGAACAGAGAAGAAATGTCATATACAATTTTTTTCCTTTCGTATTTTGCATGCAGATTTTTTCCACAGACAAACTGTCCCAATAACTACAAGTATTACTGATAAATTACTAGTACATGTATTACTTACTACAGGGACAATTTACTACTACAATGATAATAAGTCAAGCAACACCACTTCAAGCCTTTCTACTTATATTTTCTTAGAATACTTTCTTTTCTTTATTAGAATACTTAGAATTCTTTCTACCTATATTTTCCTATATTTTCTTAGTTTCTACGACGTCAATGCTGTATTAAATAAGCCTGAATTTATTAATGTGTTTCAAGTCTGTTGAGAAAATCGTTGAACTTCTACAAAGAGGAACCTAGTTCAGTGATGAGGCTTTCTGATTTTCTCTTCCATGTGATGATGAATCGTGAGTGATGACTAATTTCCAACGGAGATGTGAATATCACTTAAATAAAAAGATCTACACAAGACCGATAAGACTAAAGATAAGAGGGCACGGAATTTACTCGCATCAAATTTTTCTAGAAGCTACAGCGTTTTAAAGTTGAAAAAATATTAGTGGAGAAGAAATTGAAGAACGAAAAGAATATTTTCAAATCTATATTTGATTGAATTAGGTGGAAATAAATTGTATGACCAGTAAATTGAAAGTGTCGTTAGAAAAGTTATTCAAGTTAAATGTAACAACGCGAAGAAATATATATTATTTCCTTAAAATTTTGTTTCTCAGGTTTAAGTTCGAGGAAATTCGGAGACTTACTTGAGAACATCCACCGTTGTTGACGCTGCAAGATTCAACTTGTGGCTGCGACGTAAACACGCAACTACCGTCTCCCAGCAGCGTAAATCCTGGGTTCTGACAACGGCATTCGTAAGATCCAGCAGTATTGACGCACAGTTCGCTGCATCCGCCGTTCTCGAACGCACATTCGTCTACGTCGGAACAAGTCTGGCGGTCCGCGTTGCGGGTGAAGCCGGGCTGACATCGACACCGCACTCTGCCGTTCCGTTCTCGGCAAATCTACGCGGGGAGTTTCCGTTAAATAGCGATAAACTTTGTAGCCATCGTAGGATCCACGAACCTTGGCAGTTCAAAAGTCGGCCATAAATAAGTTAGGCCGATAAGAAGAACGTGACATCTATCGCATCAATACTAAATGAATACTAAGCCAAGAAACAATTTAATATCCTATTATGAATAAAGGATGCAAGGAATACAGTGTAACTGAGATGACAAGATATTTCAGCAGATGAGTAGTCAGTGGCATATTATACTTATATAATTCATATAATAAAAATGACAGTTATATAACGGGTAAAATTGCAATACCAGAGCCTAGCGAACTCCAGCTGTTGTGCATTGACTGTTGGATGACATTTTTTTTGGACACGACCGAGAAAAAATAATCAGACATTAAAATTCTGCAGCTGCTTACAACAAAAATATCGTGAGAAAATTCTCATCACTATTCTAAACACAATAAAAAGTATATAAACACAGTGAATACAATAGTATAATTTCAAAATACTTCGTATCGTATTCTAATAGCGTTATTTTAGTAATCAAGAAACACTTTTCAAGAAGATTTAATTGGTGCAAAATTAATTACCATGCAAATAGGCATTAAGGATCCACAAAATTATATTCTAAGTTTGTGTTTAACGAATATATACATTGTATTTACATAATTTAGTACATGAATAGTGACAAATCGGTCAGGTGACTAATAACTTAAAAGTCCACTACGGTACAAGCGTTACTGAATAGGTCCTTGCACTCTGAGATTGTTTCATTGGCCGTTTCCTGAATCGGGCATTTAAATTAAATAAAACAGAAATAATTTGATTTGATTACACTTAGTTGGGTGTTAATGGTGATTCCCACATAATGCCTGGCTAATGGGTTGTTGATGTCCGGGTAAAGAACAGGTGTTGCCAGATTGAAAGCAGGGATTAAATTCGAAACCAATTCTAAAATTAAGTAAGCATTGCTGTGAATTTGCGAGTAAAAAGGATAATAACTGGTAGCATTAAACAATTTATATGTACAAATACTGAAGGTATTAACATTTATAAGGTATTTAGAAAACGTAGTAAAACCATATACATGGAAATATATGCAAGATACAAAGTAAGTTCAGGAAAATCAATCGGTGACGTTACACATAACAAAGGTAACCGAACGTGAAGGGAAAAATAGCTGTGTTTTAGAGACAGAAACTAAAGCTAATACGCGCATTACAATGTTTAAATTAGAAATGGTGAGAAATTAGAAGAAATTCTAATAAGAAATTGGACGAAATAGAGCAAAGCTGATCAATTCTGAACGAAAGTATTTAAAGCACATCTTTCGTAAATTTTTTTGACGATTCTAGATATAACATTTTGTAGTTGAGTAAACCTTTGCTTTGCAAGCTCAATTAATTAGCAAATTGAAAAGAGCTCTAACATTAAAAATCCTCGTTGTTAAATAAAATATTTTCGATGACTAGTTAATCTAAAGGTTGGGCTCTAATCTGGAATTAAGCATTACTTTTAACGATGCATACTATTGAAATGCAGTGATGAAATTTTTACAAATGTTTCTGAATTTTCGTGTTGGATTTATACGATGGTAATAAGCAAAAATGTGAAATTTGAATACCACAGAGGGAAGAATTTTATAACAATAATTATCCAATGACAGGAATACGTTTAAACGACGAAGAAACGATGGAGTAGAGAAGCAGTGAGCTCTGGATCTTATTCCGATAGACGTACAAATATCCTCATGTAGAAGTATAACATATTAAAAGATTTTTAGTTTAGTTCCAATTTTCGATTTAGTTTTTAGTTAGGACGTTTCAATTTAAAATTTCCGGTCTACGTAACGACGATCAAGAGGACACAACAAAGTTCGATGAATAACTTGCCAATGAAAAAAAGTAACATGACTTTAAAGTCGAATAATTACAGCTTTGCCCACTAATGTTTGCATGACAGTGTGCCTGCTCACAGCCAACGTTTTTCATGTCACAAAAATTCATGTCATTGACGCATTTACTGCCGTCCAATTCCCAGCCGTCGTTACAAGGACAGACGTACGAACCGACGGTGTTGGTGCTGACGTTTGTAGTCAGCTGTTGGTGCTGACGTTTGTAGTCAGCTGTTGGTGCTGACGTTTGTAGTCAGCTGTTGGTGCTGACGTTTGTAGTCAGCTTTACAACGCCCTCAGATGCTAACGTTATTTTCGAGTCCCACTATTCCTGCAATGTGCAGCAACGTATCGTTTAATTTAATGTTTTTTGCTCTGTGCTGTCATTTTACAAAATAGAGCGGAAAAATTGAAAACAAAATTAGTTTCGAATAAAATTTATTCCTATTTTGAACTTTTCAACATTGGCCATTGAATTCAAGTTCATGTACGCTAGTGACAGGTGTTGAAGAAAATGAAAGCGAAATTTCCTTATTTGAAAATATAATTGATGTCTGAGTCGAATTAACTAATGTTAGCGCTTTTGGTGTCGTTGCTATCGCACTGCGGCAGTCAACAACTTGTTGACGGAACTAAACCCGGCCTTAATAGCGCGATTGCTGTCACCCAGAAAATGCTCGCTCGGTCAAGCGCTTAGCGTATAAAATCCCGAGCCATAAATGGAAAACCAATGACGCATCAGGCCGCCGTCCACGCGTTGGAGATTCGAGATTTCAGCAGCGATAAAAGTTTTTACCAAGGAATTATTGGCGTGAAAAAATGTTCAGTGTTGCTTTATTTTCAGCGCCACGAAATTTCAATTGCTGTGACATTTACAGTACCTCGAAAATACAGTGCTGTGAGCTTTTCCGGGACATTTCCAGTACCGCGAAATTTTCACTGACGGCAGTTTTTCAAATCTGCTAAATTTGCATTGCTTAATTATTTTGATTGCTGCAAAATATATAGTGCAGCGAAAATTTCAGTGCGGAAAAATTTTGAATGTGGCATAGCACGCTTCCATTCCCTCAACGTTAAATCTGCAGTTTAGTTTTGTGGAAGATATTTCCCTTGCCAACAGTTATGGATCGCTTACAGAAAAGACAGCACACGGATACATTTAATATAGCAAATAAACTTCATGCGGGAGCTCACATCATCAGAAAGCATCACGAATAAAAATATTACATGCAAGGAAATGACACAAATGAACTCATGTGATTTTTTCTGGAACGTTGAATATAACTTTGTTTAACTTTAGATGATCTTTATATGCTGGACAACTAAATTCAGTCAAATCTTTACATATCTTTCGATTTAGCTTTTCTTATATGTTAAATTGGTGCAAGTATCCATATAAAAATTTTTCTAAATCATAATCGAAAATTTGTCTTCCTTGCCACAATTTTCAAAGAGAAGCTAAATAAATAAGTACAACTTCGACTCTTCTAATATATTAGAGGAAGAATCTCCACAACCTGCGTTGCATATATGATCTTCAGCTCCCATCTTCATACGAGATTAATGAGCAATGATCAGTGGCTAATTAGGGCCTTAATGAGAGCCTTAACGAGGCATGAAAAGACGACGTTCAACGTGAGAACGTGGATCATAAACGCGGCCTTCGTTATACCAGAAATTGATCCCCTTGAGACACAAGCAAAAACAAGTCCAGGGCTAAAACTCAAAATAATTGATGAGCGAAATTCACAATTAGTCATCGGCCGAAATGAGGACAACGGTTGATGGTACAACGTCAAAGCAATTAACTTAAACAATTAAATGAAATTTATTGCCTGAATGGGAATGGCTATTGGCCAGTCTAGGTAGTCTTACGAAGAATGATTTATACTGGGAATACCTTGGCAAAATTCTCGCTAATCCGAGTACTTTGGTAAAAATAGGTACTTTTACACGCTAATCCGAGTAAAATAGGTACTTTGAAAAACTGGCAGAATTTTAGTCTTGTAAACAGAGCTTTTAAATCCATTCATTAGACACGGTTGAATGCGCGATAAAACTCGATTATGTCTATCAATAAGTTATTATGAAAATTTCAGATAAAAGATGAACTTCTTAGAATAGCTTGACTACGAAATAATCTTTCTAATAACGCTGCCCTGATCCCCAAAAAACCTTCTGCCATTACGCGACATTTTATCAGAAAGTTGAAGCTTTCCGTACGCGGGAAAATTCTCGAAGGATAAAACTCTTCTGAGGACTCAGGAAATCTCCAGCGTTCATTAAAGTCTTTTTAATCCGGCCAATGCAAGGCGCAAAGAAATCAATTTGCGTGAAATTGCAGACGCCAAACCAGTTGCGATTTAAAACGTCACAAAGGAAATCGCGCGGAAGAAAAAAGCGAGACAAGAATATTGCTGTTAAGTTAGATATTTTAAAAATTACTGTATATAATGATTTGCCATCCATTCTGGGTAGAATGCAGCACAACTACAATTAATTGAGAATAGGTCATAAATTAAAGAAAAATTTGTCCCCCTAAAGATCAAATGGCGGCTAGTTTTAATTAAGCTTCATGGTAAATATATTAGTTCATAAACCCCGACTTAAGTTGAGAATTTAAAGGCAAGTGGGAAAGCAAGCAAGAAAACAAAATATCGCGCACGTGGAGAATTTTTCGATAATATTTTCTAATTGGCTAACGAAATGGGGGAAAATTAATTTGAATTTACAGTACACTATTAATGTGCTACTAGTTAAATTTGTCTTCTTGGTTTGACGTCAACAGTGCTTACGGAAAGAATTTTTTATGGGTTTACGGGCATTGAAATGCATTAAAGAAATGGACGATAGCCTCGTCAAAATCGAAGTCATGCATATAATTGAGAAGTACAGAATTACAAAAGAAATAGGACAATATTTATACGCTGATATAAGAAGCACAAAACACAAGAAGAGCTACTAGACGCTACCTCTATGATTTCTACCAGAAGTAAGAGGGAGAAAACATCTACCTTATAAGTGAAAAACATCCACCTAATTTATAGCTCGCAGTGCAAATAGCTCACAGTGCAAATAGCTCAGAGTGCAAATAGCTCAGAGTGCAAATAGCTCAGAGTGCAAATAGCTCAGAGTGCAAATAGCCCAGAGTGGAAATAGCTCGTAGTGCAAATGGCACATGCATTGCAAATATCTCAAATATTGCAAAACGACTCGAAAATTATGGTAAGTTGATGCTGTTCGGATCGTTGGGAAGTGCAAAAACATTACTGTTCTACGGACGAAGAAGTGCGAGAGTAGAAAACTAGATGAAAACTCCACGGAAATCTACCTGCTGACAGCCTCCATTATTTACTGCACAGGAGCCAGCTACGTCGGTCGGGTCTTCTATGTCAACATCGACGCATTTCTTGCCGTTCAATTCCCGGCCAGCGTTGCAGGAACAGACGTAGGAACCGACGGTGTTGGTGCATACGTCGCTGCAGCCTCCGTTGTTGCGTTCACATTCATTTACGTCGCTGCACGTCGTCTTGTCATCGTTACGTTTATAGCCAGAGTTGCAACGGCACGTAACTTTACCATTATCCTTTTCTTCACATGCCTGGCAGAAAATTAGGTTAATCGACTGGGTTAGTTATGAATGTGGCGCAATATAAGAGGCAGTTCATGATATGATCATCATATTGGGAAATTGAAATCAATATTTTGAGACATTGTGTGTTTATTTCAAAATAATTTTTCTGGAAGTTGTTGAGGAATCGTACGATTAATTCAAAGGAAACTATTTTGAAAGTTTTTTCAGTTCGTGCAAGAAAAAAACGGAAAATAGTTGAATTTTTTTTCTAGCAACAATTTTGAGAATGTTACTCAAATATTTTTTCGAAAATGTACGAAATGTACCAGCTCACAATTTTGCATCTGGGTTTCGAAAAGCTGGAAATGATATTTGAAGCATGTGAAAAAAATCCAATACAAGGAATTTGAGGGTGTTTTTTGCGTTCAATATTTCAACACAGCGAAGTCTAGGGGTTACAAAATTAAACGCTCGCCAGCAAACTGCAAACCCGGTTGACAGCAGCGCAGGGCTAAGCCTGCCACACACTCACCGAGGCTTTCGACAAGGGAATATGCTTGCAAATTCAATTCACTAATTCGGATTAAGAAGAAACGTGCTAATTGCAAAATGAAACTGCGCATTATAATGCAAATTGTCATACGAGCACTCATCTTAGTCTAATTCATAATACATTGTATTAAAATAAAATTTAAATGCGCTTTTTACAACAAACACTTTTTTAATCTATGTAAATAAATACGACTTGAATTTACAAATCGCCATACACGCGTTCCTGTTCCAAATTTACGTCCTGCTGCACATAATTTGTTTAATAAACTATGATTTTGTCTAGTTTTAATATTTAATTAAATGCGGGAGAAATAAAATAAATTTATCTTTTGATTGTGTCGCACAGTGATTAGTCTTTTATTAATAATTTGATTATGATAAGTGGATACTTTCGATTTTCAACAATAAAAATAAAACCTAAAATTATGGCATTAAAGTCAGTGAAACACAAGTTCTTCACCTATAACGAACTAATTTTTATAAAAATCTGCACAAATTTATAAGCAGGTTTCATTGAAGACCAGCGAATTTGTTTTATTCGCAATTTTCTTATTGGTTTTTTCAATATATCGAACAATATTTTTAGTTTGAACTGGCAAATCTAAAATCAGGTTACCGATAGACATTTTTATTTCGATAACGACGTTTCGAATGTTTCTATCATTCATTATCAAATTAAAAGGCGCATTGAGTGATGAAATGATAACCTATACTAAATTTTTAAGCTTAGCCTGATATTATGTTTGAGCATTCAGTGAATAATTGATAAGACACAATTATCTAAAAATTAACTATTGAAGTATTAGGTATCGCTTCAGCGGTGCTATGTTACAGGAAGATAAAATCCAAATGTGAAGACGAACGAAAATTCACTGACTAATTACGTTCATAACGCTTCGTAAAAAAGTGACACAGGTACACAGTACGATATTCTATCGTCTTGATATAAACATACGATGAACAGAGATTTTTATGGCAAAAAATACCGTAAAAAATATTGGAAGTGCTGGACTAAGAGGATTATTGAATGAGCCCCAATTAAATGTAAGATAAAAAAATATAACTCAGTACTCACTGCAGTGAGTGACAGAGAGCGCATTTTCTCGTCGACGAAAACTTGAGGTCACGGACAGACGGACTGACAGACGGACGGACAGACGGACGGACAGACGGACATGGCGAGCACAATATAGTGCATTTTTCCATAAATGAGAAAATGCTCTAAAAACGTGTGCAAAATACATATAAATTTCAAATAAAAACCTATGTTTCTATCTAATATCTAATTGATTTAAATTTAAGGTTGTAAGCAAACTTAGCTAATAATTTAAGCCAGTGTATTATCAATAAAAGACGTAAGATAAACATATGTTTTAATAAAATATAATTGATGAATTATTTTTCTACAGCTAAACATGGAATACTCCACATATGCGTCGCAGAGTTATTTTAACCAAGTTTCTTGTGCAGTTTGAAATAGTGACACAAGGTAACGAGACAAAGTTTGAAACTCGGCTAACTTCCCCCGTGGAGTTTCCTGAGTTCGGTCGAAGTATCAAAACTCGTATGCAAAATGCGTTGCCCTTAAGATATGCGATCCTAAGTTGATTGAAGAGCAGAGGTCAAGTTTTAGAGCACAAATTAGATTTATTACAACTGCCACGGTGAAACTTAGGACTAAATTGTTGATGTTGAAATGCAGGGAGAATGTTGAAAAATATTCATAGGCACAAAGAGGAATTGAATTGACATAGAACGAAAATTTATGTAGTCTCTCTGAGAGAAGAGAAGTGAATTGCTGACGTCTTGCACCAAGGTCGCTGGTCAAGTAAATAGAAGCTCAAGTTACATTATTCATGCACTCGGAGTGAATTCATGTTGGAAGTCCAGGTAAAGGCTGTCGAAAAGGCTTTTAGCACATATATGCGTCGCGCCGAAATCGCGGAATTGCCAATTCTATAGAATCGGCAGCCAGTTTGCCGAATCTGTAGAATCAGCATTGCGTTGCTGATTCAGAAAATCGGACGTTAGAGTTATAACATTAATCGAGCGTTAGAGTTATAAAAGGTTATTTTAAGTTTGATCAAGTTCCTTTATACTTAAATATTGAAAAAAAAAGAACTTGGCTAACTGATCTAACCCCAGATTCCTATGGTATAGAAATGCTGATTCTACAGATTCGGCAAATCACTGCCGATTCCATAGAATCGGCAATTACGCGATTTCGGCACGACATATACATATAGATAGGTGAAAAGATTGCTAGATACCTACTTTTGCGAGAACGCCTAACGATAATCGGTTTCACTGCATAGGAGCTAATGAGCGACGGACATAATTAAAAGTGCTACTGAGACTTTTACGAAACACAAATGGAAGAGATAATCGGGGATGTAATATCTGAACGCACTAATATAAAATTAGTTCATACGAGTTAGTACAATTAGCGTACAGTGTTGAAGGAATTTCTCTCCTAGATTACAGATTAGTTAGTGGATCAAGTTAACCCCCTGGGCCTATACTTTTAAAAAAAGTTAAGAGATCGTAAGTTCGTCTGCCAATCATTGACGGCCTTTCAAGCAAAATCCACCAATCATAGACGAGAAAATAGAGCGTAAGTACTTACGTTCACTTAGCAAGTTTTGAAAGTATGGTCCCTGATCGCTACTCAGTGACATGAACATCGTTGGACGTATAAAAATATAAATCACGCAACGAACTTGTTAAAAAATATATCACTTCTTAGTGCCACCGCCTGCATGTGCACATTTCAAGTCCTGGTGTCAGAGCTCAAGCTCTAGTTTACAGTACAATAATTATGGTTTTAATAATAGTATCAGCCTTCACATAATACATCTATGTAGACCCTTATAAATATTAGTAATAACTAACGATGATTGTGCGAGCCATTAAAACAGAAGCTCATATGAAGCTGTTTGCATTTGCAGACGAAGCTCTGTCATGCCTCGACATATTGATTTGTAAGATTGATACGCGTTATGTACAGAATTATTTGTGTATTATACATACAGAATTGCTTGTGTATTACATATACAGAATTACTTGTGTATTACACATACAGAATTACTTGTGTATTGCACACACAGAATTATTTGTGTATTACACATACAGAATTACTTGTGTATTACACATACAGATTTACTTGTATATTACACATACAGAATTACTTGTGGCCATCTCTACAGTCTGGCACAGGACTGAGCTAACAAAATGTAACAGAGGCTTTAATGATACTGAAGGACCTGGTCAAACATCTTCAACTAATTGGCCTTCAGGAATATAATATTTGGTCACGAATTCAGTGAGTTTTTTGTCCCTTTTCCTTCAATGTCGAAATCTGCATGTTCAGAAACAATTATATGGCTATCATTGCACACCTACAGCTTAAGTCAATCATATTAACGAATAAGGCTCTAAAAAGTATGCAATGCAAAGAACTATATGAATGAAACACGCTAGCACAGTATGCCGGCAAAAATTTATTGATAAATACATGAATATTGGAGAAGACGTCATGTGTAGTTTAAAATAAATTAATTACTGCACAGATAATTAAACCTACTTAATCACAAAATTACGATAGAGATAAATCCTCGAACTTTTATGTCAGTAATCCCTTTTGATACGCTATAAGAGAGAAGATACATTGAACCATACTACCAAACGTTAAAGCTTTAGTACAGATCACAGTGAATTTATAATCATAAAATTTCGATTTATAAACAATCAACAAATTCACTTCCGACAAGACAAATCGACGCCGACAGGAGGAAATGGTTTTTAGCGCATTTTCTCATTTATGGAAAAAGTGCACTATTGTGCTCGCCATGTCCGTCTGTCTGTCCGTCCGTCCGTGACCTCACGTTTTCGTCGACGAGAAAATGCGCTCTCTGTCACTCACTGCAGTGAGTACTGAGTTATATTTTTTCGTATAGTCCCAGAGCAGCTCTGACGCAACTCTTAGATGGTCATTTCATTAAGCGGAATCAAGGCACTGCCGCTGGCTGAGCCGCCTTATTTGTCGAATGTCAAGGCCGTGTTAAAGTCTTCAGCTCGACCAGCGCAGATGGAGGGAGATTTTATCTCCTTGTGAGGCTGCTGATGTTCAAGATTTCATGACAGAAAATAATCTCCGTACTAAATCAAATTCAACCTATGTGTACATTGTTATTTTTCACCGCAGAAAAATTACTTTATTAGTGTGCTGATGCTCCATTAGTTAAGAGTTACGGAGAGACAACGTATCTAGCACACGTATGCAGGCTGAGTTTTTTATATACCTAGTACATTTTTCAGCGATAAAAAGTGGAGTTTTTTCAAGACTAAAGAGTAGTTGGCCTTTGCACTTCCAGCTTCCTGGCCATTTATCGGAAGCAGTAATAAAATAGAGTTGAACATCCATATTGGGATTGAGCGAACTATTTTCAATACTACACTTCGATAACCCCTAAGCAAAATCTAGAAATTGTACATTTTATGTTCCCTGTGGTTGTCGTCAGTAGTGTGCCGTTGATCTAACATTTCTTGGTGTCCGTGCATTCAAAATAATCAGAATTGGAGCAATGAGTTTCGGGTTAAAAATTCGCAGATGTTAAAATTCGATGGTATCTACAATCGATTACAAACCAACATAGCTAAATCTTAATTACAGAAGCCACTATATCTAGTTATGCAAGGTGGTAGTCCGGAAATAATGCAATCTATGCAAACTCCAGGAGGTATTGGCACTCGTCGTAACACATCAGCTCGACCGTCCAGGTTGCAGACGTTGCCGTGCCGATGTGTGTATTCTCCTCGAGGCCATTTCCAGGACGAAAATGTCTGAAGGTTTTTTATCGCGACGAGGTACGAAGAAAATAAAGACGTGTCCGGTTTGATTTCCTGGGGAGCTTCTCTTTTTTTCTGCACGTGGGCCGAGAATGTTGGTTTCGTACGTGATACTGATACAACATTAAAAAAACGTTTGCAACAAGTAAACACTTTGCGGAGCACGTATCTGGTCTGTGTCTGATAGCTCGTCGACAAATATATCATTCCCAAGTAAAAAAAAAGGATAACATTCGCTTCAGACACAAGTTTGTTGTAATTTTGAATTGCACCAGTCGCTAGAACACGAAAGAAGAAGAAGTGTAGAACACGCATATGAGAAGTAAATGTACGTTTTAAGTAGACGTTTCGAACCAAATCGACAAGTTGTATGAATCGAAACACGGTTATAGGTTGAGAATATTTACGCGCAGTGTCTGTACAGTAGGGATCGAATGCACACGAAGCTTTCGAACGTCGAGACTTCGTAGACGGCGTTCCAGAAGACGTTCATTTTCGCTCATACCTTATCTTGAAGGTAGGTGCATTATAAAATTGCTCCGAAATTGCCAGTGGTCATCTATCTAGGATCTACCAATCAATAGTCGTTGCAATCATCTCAGGTGACTGCAGTGAATGTTTTTTCTTTGCATAACCACAATCTTTGATAAGCTGCAACGGGACTATCGAATATTTGTTAAAGCTATCATGGACAATTGAATTTATTCCCTACAATTGTACCACCCTATAAATTAGTGTACACCACCTTATTCTTTTTTTCCTTTAAATTGTTAGCGGGTCTGAAATGCATGATTGTTATCATCTAAAAAGTAATGACATTAAAAAATATTTCTTTAGAGGGATTTTTGGTTAAGGCATAAGCAAACAGGTTAGTACATAGCAGTTAGAGGAAATAAACTCACCAAAAACCCCTTCAAAGTTGAGTTTCATGATTAGTAATTAAGATGGCAGCAGTAAGGTGATGTTTTATGGTACAGGTTTAATAATTGACCGCTATAAGCAATCGTAATGACGATAATTCATAGCAACGATGATTAGAAATGAGAAATTTGAATCCATCAGATTGATAAGTGAACCTTACCAGTGATTATGGATCATCAAAATATGGGCAACGAGTAAAATTTTAGCGAATTAGAAACGATTTTAAAGGAATTTTTATTCGCGATACCTAGTAAGATTTTTAGTTTTGTTCATGCGGAGTCACAAAACAAAATAGATGAAAAACTGACCTGAGCACAGCCACCGTTGTTGACTGCGCAGCCTCCAGCTTGTGAGCCGCCAGGAAATCCACCAGGAAAACCACCAGGAAATCCAACAGGTTGTCCACCTGGAAAACCACCAGATTGTCCACCAGGAAAACCACCAGGTTGTCCACCAGGAAATATCCCGCCTTGTCCACCGGGAAACCCGCCGCCCCCGCCACCGCCGCCACCAGGCCGGCAACGGCCGTCCGGTAGGAGGGTGAAGCCGGGGTTGCAGGAGCACGTGAACGAGCCTGGGGTGTTGGTGCACACCTGCCTGTGGCACGAGATCAATAAAATATTAAAATATAATATATTAACTAGTAATATTGTTATAGTACGAAAATTACAAATTAGTTATAGTACGAAAAGTACAAACAATATCTACACATGCAAGTATGATGCGTACAGGGTATAAGTACGAACGAAAGCATATACTTCATACCCTATTCTACATATGATAGTAATATTATTACTAATTGGTTATAGTACGAAAAGTACAAACAATATCCACACATGCAAGTATGATGCGTACAGGGTATAAGTACGAACGAAATCAAATACTTCATACCATTTACTACATATGATACAAATCATATACTACAAGAACAAACCGCCCCATGAACTGACCTGCAGCCTGCGTTGCTGAACTGACACTCGTTGATATCCAGACGCACAGTCTCACAACATTCAACCAACATCCTCTCTCAATCAAACAGAATTTTGCTACAAGAACAAATGCCCCATGAACTGACCTGCAGCCGGCATTGCTGAACTGACACTCGTTGATGTCAGCACAGGTCTTGCGGTCTCTGTTGAGGACGAAGCCGCTGTTGCAGAAGCAGCGAACGAACCTATTTTGTTGCCTACAGCCGTGCTCGCACCCGCCCTTGTCTACGTTGCAGTTGCCTGGGGATACATTTAAAAAACTTTTGGAAGTTGAATAGCCCTGATGAAAAAAAAATTAATTGAATATTTTGTATGAAACTACTTTATTCAAATAAACATATTATATGCTTAGTTATCATGCAAGCTGCATCGTGCAAAAATAACATGTGCACGCATAACTATCGTAAATTTAAAAAAAAAATGCTTTTAAATCTCAGTTATAACAGGCAAAAGAGAAAATTAGACCAATAAATATTTAAAGAGTCATATTAATTAAAAAAACGACGAATAAGGATTGTTTCATATTTTTTTAACGTGTTGTATTCTCATTCATTCATATCATATATGAGCAGCAATATCATAATAAATCATAAATGAATTTTTGGTACCATAATTTTAATTATTACTAGTACATTTAATTACTAGAGAGTTTAAGTTTTCAAGTGATTTATAGTTAATACACATACATATAGTTAAATAACACATTGTTTGTGAAATATAATAGATAATATTAGTTCGCATGACATCGTTTATACCTGCATTATGGCAAGACAACTGTACTGAGATTTTCAATTTCTAATCAACAATACTGAACTAAAATTGCACGTGTAAGAAGCTAAGTAATTATGAACTTCAACAGGTAATACAAATTTTAAATCAATTATTCATTCGTACGTAATGTGTAGCATCAAAAATTTCTTTAGAAAAGCCGTCTAGGGCAGCCAGGCTTTGAAGTACTAAGAAGATCATTAATATTAAATTCGCTTTGTGTTCTGACTCGCCTGATCCTAAGCATTCGCCGCGTGGAATTATTTAGTCGTGAAATTCCAGGAAGATTTTCATTCAAAACAAACAAACAAGACATTGATAAATAATTTGAACGTGCATGATGTGATTTTCATTAAAAACAAACAAACAAACAAACAAACAAACAAACAAACAAACAAACAAACAAACAAACAAACAAACAAACAAACAAACAAACAAACAAACTAGCGATAACAATATTTGCAATAATGCACAAAACAAGAGTGCAGGGCCTAAATGGTTGAATCGCGTGTGTTAGAATTGAATAACCGATGTCAAATAGAAAAATGTTCGTGAGGGCAAAACATGCAATTCACCATAGGATATTATTCTCAAAAGTAATAAATAGTTTAAAAAATGCTGAAATAAGCGTATTGTATGGATATTTCAATGAATAGTTCACTCGTTATAAAGCCAATTATAATAATAATAATTATAATGAAGCCAATAAAGTTGCTAGGTTAGTTCTGGGGCATGGCTTAGCTGGGGCTTTGCGATGATGCAATTAGCAGTAATGCTAATTCATGTCCAATAACAAGAACTTAACATATCAATGTAGAAGAATAATCAAGACCGTAATCTGCGTTCAGAATAAATATTGTGAAAACGACCATGTTTTTTTGCTCGTATTATTTCGTTATCCGTCACAGATGCGCTCATTTGAACATAGCTTCTCACAAACACAAATTAGCTCACCAGGCTTAATTAATGAGAGCAATTCAATTAATTGGACATAAGAAGTTCATCATTAGCTTAATTTTTGAAATGAACGTTGCTTTAAAAATACGTCCTCATATTAACTTTTGCAAGCCGATAAATATTAATTATATTGGGTTATAACTTTTTCAGAGTTTTTTGAATTAGGAGCGGCAATTTGAGGCCGCTTCTAAAAAAAGGGCCGATAAAAGTACTATTTGATTGAATCCACAGTCCTATTCATGTAATCGTGTAATCCCGATTTATTCATAATCCTTGAAAGACATTTATAATTGCTCTGTACTGAACAACACAAAGCAATAAAACTGTAACTTAACATTATAGAAATCATTGCACGTGATCAACGGATTTTGTCTCCAAGTTTTCAATTTTTAAACTAGAAGAAAGTAAAATTTACTTTAAAAATGAAATAAGCTTACACGATGATATGACGAAATCTGAAAGTATTTTCGGATTATTTTAGCAGCCGTACACAAGTGTTGTTCAAGTATTCCCTTAATTTTAGTTCAACGCTGCTCCCTTTATATGCTTTGTGACTTGAAACATTGGAGGCGCTAGACGCATTGCATGCGTAGGAATGCGATGCATTCATAACTAAAACATGCAATGCTGGTGTAATCGTGAGTCAGATTAAACATATGACAGCATTCCGTGCAAGATTATTCTGTAAAATCCATATGAACCAATATTTCAATTGGCCATGATAATTTAGGAGATGGAATCGCAGATTCCCACAATGAAGCTAAAACTATTAAGCAGATTTAGTGCTATGGAAATTCGTTGCAAGTTAACCCATTTACAATCGATACCAATTTAAATAATAGAGGGTTAAGTTAGACGTGGAATCATTAAGAGTTAGCCTGAAAAATGAGTGCCTTGGATGTGATGAACGCTCAGGAAACCTAAACGCCTTCACTTACACGCTAAAGTATTTATAGTTCACAAACTTTGAGGTAATAGCGAAAAATAAAGAATCAGCGAAAGTTCACTGAAAGATTTCAGCAAGAAGTCAGCAATTTGGGAAGTTTTCAATCGACTGAAAGATCTGCAGTGACAGGAAATGAGTTCAATGCTGTTCTAACGAAGAAAAAATTCACAACGTAACGCTCTAAAATGTTATGGTAAAATGATGTCGTCAATTTGAGAAGCCAACTACATTCAATGATACCCTAAAATTGTTTATTGATAATTTATATCTTGTGCCATACAGTTGACATGTTCCCTATGTTATTCATGCGTAAATTTGAAGTTTATTGGGACGTACGATATAAGCTGTAGACCCAAATGACTATTATCGAGACTGAAAAAAATCTATCAGGACTTTAGGTTGCCTTTCACTATTATTTGTTTTGACGGTAGTTAATAATTGAATTCTTAATGTACCAATTTCACGACTTGCTACATGCTACAATTTTTGTGTGAGCCAGAAAAACAAAATTTTATACGACTACTCAACTAAGAACTTGACGTTTCCAATTCACGAACGTGCTCGTTACATGTACCCAATCCCACACTGTACAATTCACCAGATTTTAGCAAACCAGTGATAACGAGGGACCCAGGCATCAAGACACACCTGTCATCTCAATGATAAGTATCACTTTCCCGTCAATGGCAATCAATGACAGTGGAAACCCAGCGATAGTGAAAGTTGCCAATGTGACACCGACATTGGGCTCCGCGCTTTCCAGTCTGGACAGGGCATCACGAGTTCTTTGTTGAATTTCTGATGAATCGTTGGCTTGGTTTGGCAATATGAAGACAGCTTCGTTTTGTGGTCCAGTATAACCTGGTATGGAACCTACGATCAAGTCGGGTCTGATGCCGAGAGAGGAAAGAGTTGCCACTATCTCTTCCATAGCCTTGTTGGTCTTGTCGCCACCCCCTGAGTTGGCAGGAGGTTCGTCACGGGGTCCACCTGGTTTCCTATCTCGGTTAAAAGGCAGGTTAGCACCGTTGATAAAACCCGGAGGAGGCGTTAAAGCAAGGTTAGTACGGGCACCGGGTGCTTCCAGATTATTATTATTAGTGTTAAAAGCATCGGTACTAGGCTCATTGAATACTATTGTGTGTTCTGGTTTCGTGTCCAATTGTTTGCCTTGTTTTAGGTGGTTTAGCTTTGGGGCCAAAGAAGTACCATTTTTATATGTCTCACCAGGAATTTGGTTCGGGTTCAAAGCATTGTTCAGACCCGCTATGGCTCCTTCGAAGTTGTTGTTCGTGTTCTGAGATTGCGGGTTCAAAAAGCCACCGATAACTGAACCCAAAACGTCCCCCACGTTGACTGGTTCTTGCCGACCTGCATTATTCTGGTTGCCGGGAGCGCCAATGTTGAATGGTAGACCGATGGAAAAGCCGACTGAAAGGAAAGAAAAATTGATCAATTGAGTTAGAAAGCTGTCCCATTTCGTTGCGAGCTGCCGTAAACAGGGACACTGCAGATTCAAAATTATTATCTGAATTATTATTATTATCTAAATAAATTATTTAGATAATAAATTATTATTATCTAAATTATATTATTCACATTTTGAAGTCAAGAGAATAATTATTTTGAGTTTCGATTAGGATTATCAAAATATCAGGTTTTGCTCCAAACTCACATCTATTGTGAGTTTGGCCCTAAATCAAGAGAAATTTCTGGTGAGACGTTTTCATTTCGATCTACTGACCAATATACGTCAATACGGTCTCTGACGGACAATAACAGTAATCTTATAGGTAAACATTAAATTAGTTATAAATTTAACTGTACTAAGAAGAAACGAATTTAGGCAAACCTCAGCGTGCGGCGTACGGAATCTAGCAAGCGTGAAACGGAACCGAATTGAAAAATGATAAATTTAATGGTAAAGCTTGAACGCTACGTATATACCATATGAAACTTACCTTTTTACCTGTTCAGAGCTCATCTAACCTGTGAACGTTATTGCCTGTTCAGAGCTTATATAACTTGTGAGCGTTATTGCCTGTTCAGAGCTCATATAACCTATGAGCGTTATTGCCTGTTCAGAGCTCAAAGTGACACATAATGAAAGAGGATGGCATGAGCGACGCCAGTGATTTAAAAATGCTGATGCACGAATAACTCAGATTAGAACGAAAAAAATCGCATCGCAAAAAGCTACTATGAATCTTTAAACGAATTTTTATTTATAATTTCAAGCTAAATTATAAAGTCTATGCTGTATCACACATTTTCTGAGAACGGCGTGTTCAGTAACACTTGTGGTTGTTTCGCTACATTTAATATAAGAAATAGAAGCCTCTTAGTATTTGTTCACCAGCATTCTTCTGGTCATGCAGCATCAGTCAACCGCTTTGCACCACTCGGCTGCAGTGATGCACGTTAAAAGCTTGGAACTCATAAACCTGACCTGGAACTGGAATAACTTGTTTGTAGGACGTTGAGAGTGTCTTGGCAGGCTCATCGCCTGTAGCTACTATACCGAACTGCCTTCGCTCTATGCAAGTGTATTATGCCTGGTGAGTTACTGAATAAATTTATTACTTAATATTATTGTTTGACGGTTTTTACGTTTAATGAAGCCTCAGCATTCCACATGTAAACGATAGAATTACCTGGGTCACCAGGGGCGGATTATAAATTTGATCTTTTGATTAATTTAAAGCACAAAATTGGTCAATTTTTCTATCAATATTCAACTCAAATTGGAATAATATTAAAACATAGATTCAGCGACATCGACTTGAACCAATAAAATCCAATTTAGTGACTCGAGGGAGCTAGCGTTATTAGAGAGCTACATCTCAAAAACATATCTGCACATTTTTATGTAGCCGGAGAACCATATGATAACAATGGATGCATTTGTTAGGCCAAAGGTTCTCATGCTACTACATCAGAAAGTTCAATCAACTTGAGCAAGATAGTAACAAACTTCTTAACTAAATTTCGAATATTCAAGGTCAAAAATTATACTGATTGGTATTCGTGCGAGGAATATGAGGCGCTGTAAGAGGCTTAAACTTGCGCAAATGACAGCAAAGTTCTTGTAAACTCTTTAATCAGTTTCTCCGATAGAGGCTCTGTATATTTGCTTATTGATGTTTACATTAACTGTTGAAGAAATTAGGTACAGTGTACAGTGCACAGTAAAAGCTGAAAATGAATTTTGACATTTGAATTACTCGCAATCTTGAAGATTGAATAATAAGTTACGCAGCCAAATTAACGATTGATTTTTGAAAATAAAATTGCTACTCATTCTTCAGTTATTTATGGCCAACAAAACAAGGAGCTCTCAGTAATATTTGAGAATATCCAATAAAAGATTACATATAAAATCACTTCATATGGAAATTCTCACTTTGTCTATTAAAAAAAAAAATTTTATACACTTACTACGAAAAAACTAGCTCACAGTGCTCGGAAATAACTCAAGTTGATTGAGTTGAAGTTCTTCAAAATTCTCGCTTAAAATCCTATCAATTTTTTCATGTTTTTCGCGAATCCAGTTTTAGACAAGAGAAGAGGATCAAAAGATGAATGACGATTGAAATATGCTGCAGGTAATGGGTTTGTTAAAAAAATTCAGCGATAGCAACTCACTAGAATTCTTTCATAAAAATGCGACATTCCCGGACGCCGGTTAAATCGAATGAAAATTTAATTGCTGTCGTTAGATGCAAAGTAAATTCTAAGGTTTTTGGCGTTACGTAAAACGGAACTGCCGATATTTTACTGGCAGGAGATGCAATTTAAATGTTTTTTTTTTCGGCGTCCTGCAATTCGTAACTGCGAATGTGGTGGAAATATTCAGCGAATGTTAAGACCGAATTAATGCTCCAAAATTGGGATGTTCCAAGTTACTAATTTGGAGCATTATACCAATCAATGCTCCAAGTAACTAATTGGTGGATGTTGCAAACTTACCGAATAGATAGCATAACGTTGAGGTAGCTAGAGGTATTTGTCTAAACGTTGTAGTATTTTTTCATCTGTATTATTGTGCTTGCGAAGAACTAAAAATTTTTAAGCTTAAACAAAATTTCTAAGGCTTGGCTTCTGCGCGGAAAAATTCACGATTATTCGTTTTCAAAAACGCAAAATCGGATAGTCTAATCTATGTTATTAAGTAGAGCCAGCTAGATCGCGCACATCTGGGTTATGTTGGCCGAAACGCGTGGGTAGGAAGGAACCAAACTTTTGCTTCAGGAAACCGAGAAATTGTCACTTCGATGTGTTGACAGTTGGCGATTAATGCTTGACAGTCTACGATTTTCATACTAATCTAAATAACTTCGTTTCAAAACCAAATACGAAGCAACCAACTGAGTTGTGTCTCATCGGAAAAATGTTGTAAGAAACTGGTTTATTTGCTGACGATTTTCATCAAGGATTATGTTGCAAATTTTTCATGTTGCAAATTTTTCTCATTGGTATAAAGAAGGTCAACATACAAATTGTATCTTACGATGATGCTTTCCAGAAATCAATTTTACTCCATTGTTAACTAAAAACAAATTTATAGTGAATAATCTCATTGCCAGTCGCACGGTAAGCGCAGAAGTCGGTGAGATTTCCTCACCAAGATGTGACATCAGAAGAAGAGGGCAAGCTTGAGTATGCAAGGCACATTCTCAACGCGGAGGCCACAGGGAATCCCGCTGTAGCGAGCGGAAGTGGCCACAAGGCTCGCTGCTGCGACTGTACATTGCGGTTTACTGGCATTCTTACTGCAATATTATAGGCAGTAGCGGCAGTCAAAGAGGCAATATTGGTTGAAGTATCAGCTGCGCTAGAAGTGGTAATAACAGCAGTCAAATATAGGCCGTTCCTGCGGCAAATAAAGCATACCTTTTGGCTGTTCCTTTGCATACATTTTGGATAAAGCTGCAGTATCAGGGGTAATTCATGGAGCAGTAGCAGTAGTAGATATTTGGACAGAAATGGAGGATCAAGCTGCTTTAACAGGGACAATTCATGCAACAGTAACAGTAGAAAATAAAAAAATGTGCCGCATTATAGACAGCGTGCGCGGTACAGAATCCTCTAGTATATCCAGAAGCGTTGGCAGTAAGTATAGCTATTTAGATAACAACGACCGAGATTGCTGCTGCAACAAGACAACAAACCAAGAAATAGGTTCCATTACACACGGAAGCAACGGCTGTGAAAGAAACTGTTGTGGTCGTTTTTGAAGAGACAGCAGCAAAATAGCAGCTGCTGATATGATAGCAGCTGTAAATGTGGTATTGCATACAGAAGACGCAACACTTAGAGTAAGCATCTGTCATCGCAGTTATCTTCACCAAAAATTTAGAGTGAAAAGTCATATAGGTATGTAACTAACATAGACAATATCTATAAGTAAAATATCTGGTAGAATTAAACCACTCTAAATTTTTCGTAAGATAGTTTTCGAAGTTTCTAATTTTCGGTAAAAAGCTGCTGATGGTTCATTTTAAAGTTGCTGCGAACCGTTTGGATGGTTTTATATATACATCGAAATCAATTATACATAATAAAGTAGACCATAAGCAGCAAATGATGACCTGCCGATATTCGTGATTCTGATCAGCGTTTCCGTGGCCGCCCATAATCGCGGATACAGGAAACCGTGATTACCGATCCGGCGCTAGCCTCAGTCATCACAAATTGCGTGCACCGCATCACAAATGCAGCAGTTCCCCTACAAAGGCGAATAACTACGTTGGTCCTGAGCTTCGTATACATACTAGTAATATGGTTCAGGACATTTTCAGTAGCTGTAAATTGAAAGACAAATCGGTCATGAGCTTCGCATGCTTGTAAAATTGTTTGAATATTTTCAGTCGCTGTAAATTGAAAGACAAATCGGTCATGAGCTTCGCATGCTTGTAAAATTGTTTGAATATTTTCAGTCGCTGTAAATTTAACGGCAATGTTAGGCTGGCAACGGTTTTGTTTGTTCGAATACCAAATAAATAACAGGTTAACTGCATCAAGTTCCCAAACTGGTTGCATGTGATGCAACAAAGCGCTCAACAGCTGCCTGTTAGGCGACCACATAATATTTAATTTTATGTGAGGGATTTCGGCAAAATTTACGAAGAAATTTTTGGATTTCCCGAAAATGATTAAGCAGTTAATAGGTGCCATTTTTCGCTCTTTATGCAAAATAATTATATTAAAATAATTCTAATAACAATATAATATTTCAATTAGTAAGAAAAAACTAATAGCTGAGTGAGAATAAAAGTTAGAAGACAAATTCCAAATAAAAACTGAAATGCTTAATTTGACTCATCATGAATGAATTCAACTTTAAATAACACTCCAATTTTGTAAACTTTCATAATTTGTACTTAATATACCAGGTGTTTGATAACTTGTAAGCAAACGTGAACAAACTACACGTACCTAAAACCACTAGTCATTATTATTAATGTCGTTTACTCACTTTGTCGTTTGGTGCGCTGGAGATGAGTATCACCATCGTCACCACCAGCGGGATGCACACAAAACGTTGATGCCACAAACACAAGCATTGAAATGACGCTTAAACAAAGTCTGGTCTCCATTTTAGCGCTAGTTTCAATGACGTTGTGATTGAAAAATAATTGATGAGCTGTAGCGCCAGTGAAGCTTACTTAAACCTAAACTGGAATAGGCCTTCACAGTGAGGAAGCCAAGCGAGTTAAACTTATTAGTATCACAGATTTTTTATTTCGAATAAATTTTTAACGGAACAATTTGAACCACTTTAGGAATGGCCTTCAGGAGCTATTTTCTTCTACTGATGAAAAAACTTTTTTGCCGAATGGGATCGCGACAGTATTTCGGAAAAAAACTGTATCCAAATGTGCTACAGATTATCCAGATAATTGATCGTCATGTAGAATATTGCGTCTGTTTTCAAAGTTGGGATCGAAATTGATTCTGTTTCTTAGCACTCGAGGTTCACGTTTGTTCTCTATTATTCAAGTTGATTTTAATAGTCCATTTAAAATTAAATACCTTTTAGAGTTACATCAATGTAGCAAAGTTTTTATTCGCGAGCATTAGAAAAAATTTTAAAGGGAAAGGTAAAACAGATAAGATAAACTTTAGATAACATCACTGGCATGAATTTTTTGTTCAAACACCACTAGAAATTTTTCGGTTTTTCGAAGAGACTTCGCATTGCCGTATGTTGCTCTGCAATATTATCACTGTAGGTACAAAGACAATGATTAATAACAAAGAATGATTGCACAAAAACACGAAAGTATAAAGTAATTACGATTGTTCAATAATGATATTTCTAGAGCGTGAAAGTGTAACTAATATTTGTAACAATAAGTATCATAAGTAGCATCGTTTTTCATTAATATCAATTGAGAAAACAAACGATAGAGAAAACAAACGACAGACCTGCGTATGACATCTCAGCATTCCTGTTGAGTGCATATTTACGATTCAACACATAAAAACAAATAATCTAATGATATGTAAGGTTATTTGAAATCAATATTACATCTCTATCATAGATTGAATGCTATTTTCCAATTTGGTTCAGAATTATAGGCCTCTCGGCCTGAATTTTTTCAACTTCGACAATTTACGCCTGAGACATGGAGAGATAAATCTGAGGCATGTGCATTGGAGATAAATGGCCGACAATAGAGTAATGCTGCGTACCTGTAGTGGAATCTTGTGCGAAAAAATAATTTCGTAATTTGCGTATCTTAGCAAACAAAAAAAAAAAAAAAAAACTGGAAAACTGGATTTGAAAAAAGTACATGTTTTCAAGTTTATTAAGATCAATTTATTTTATTATTAAGATCAATCAATTTATTAAGATCAATTAGAAGAGGAGTCGTGAAATTGGTATGCGTTTGTTACCGATTAACAGTTCAGATGTTGGGAGATATTATTCATGTAGACATTCATAGGATCGAATATATAACTTATTTGAACAACTCGTGTACCCGAAAGCAACCTCCCATGGCAGAACAAGGGCAAACAGAAAATGTCGTTGGAAAGATTTAAACGAAAAAAAAAGAATTGCAGATCGAATTGCAAAAAATGTTGTCGAACACGACGATATTTTTACAATTTTCCACACTAGATGGGGAACTCCAAATCTCCATGTTCAATTGATAAAATTTTCAACTCTATTCTTCATGAAAACAGACACGCCATCCTGTACATTTTATTCGACGGCTAAAAAAGTCTCCCCCGAAACAAGAGGCATCGTTTTCATTCCTTCCATCTATCTGAACTCGGGAGAAATTGTAAGAAAAAATCAACAGAGATTGATAAAAAATAATTGATACGTTCAGATAGATAAGGATTTCTGGAAACAAAGCGATACACCGAAAATTTCGTGCATTAATAGCTGACTTTCTCACTCAATTCCTCGGTGATAACAATGCATTCCAATGACTATATAGTAACAAGCTTAGGCAGTGGGTAGTTTTTCCTACGATGGCTGTAACAAATGCAAATTATCGCGAATTTAATTCTTTTATTACAAAATTTCCCTATCTTAGTCTTTTAAGGTTGAAATTAATAAATTAATTTGAATTTAATCGAATGACCGAAGAGGTATAAACCTTTTTCCAAGACGAATCAAACAAGAGTTATATTTGTATAGAGTATTATATATACAATTGTATACAGGACTTCTAGCATCCATCCGAGCTTAGCGCCCACGAGAGTAGTGGGACAGCAGGCCGGCTCATAACCTGTTAGACGCAAGCTTGGCAGCTTTCTCGGTACGGCTTAGGCATCTCACGTTTGGCCTACTCTGACACTGGGAGATAAGGCGGAAAAATAAAACTCAGTACACGCTGCAGTGAGTGACAGAGAGCGCATTTTCTCGTCGACGAAAACATGAAGTCACGGACGGACGAAGAGACAGACAGACAGACAGACAGACAGACGGACATGGCGAGCACAATAGCGCCTTTTTTCCATAAATGTGAAAATGCGCTAAAAAGACTAGTAAATGAAGAGTTATTTTAATAGTATGCCAACTCAACGTTTCGGCGAATTTCAGACCAGTCCAGCTGTATTTCATCAACATGGTGGTTTCTTCGACGAAAAACCGGTGAAATCGCAAGGAAAGTGCCAAATGAGGCTGTTATTTTGGAAAAAAATATTCACGACAGAGATCTAGAAAAAGTGTTCAATGCGAAATAAATTCGTTGACAAATCCTAGAGCACTAAAAAACGGCACTCAGTGTTCAGCATATAAATCTTTGGAGTATCTCATCGGCATTCTGCTGGCTTACGAGCAGCAAGGTGACGGCAAATAACCTAATAAATTTGCCTGGGCGGCAAGTGCACAGTATTCTACGAGGAATATGCTTGTGGCATTGCAAAGTCTCCATTGAAAAAATTTTGTCGACACGCTGCTGGCCAATAAACGGCCGACGGCTATTCGACGGTACTACAACAAAGATTTTAAAATGGATTCACACCTAAATCCTTCCTTGCCGACTACAAAATTGGAAGTGTATGCGGTCTGAAAAAAGGCCACCAGAAATATATCGGCACGAAGGCCACCAGAAATATATCGGCACGAATTCTTGCTGTGCTTCTTGGGTTTGTTTATTTTAATTTAATTTGTTTAATTTCATTAAATTAAATATTTAATTTTAATTTAATTTGTTTAATTTGCTAGAACCTGCGGTTTGCATGCGAGGTGTGCGTTCTAACGTCTCGTGATATTCTGCATCACGTGTGGTCGGGACATTAGTTGCCCGTTTCAGTTATAGTGGATTGTGGGTAAACACGATTGCTGGGTCAATGTAAATTATTGCAAATTGCGCTCATTCGGGGGTTTGAATTGCTGGCTAGCAAACTCTTAAGAGTGAAAATATGTTAAGTACGAAAGGCACTAGGCATATGTTTTGTAGTAGCTTGAGCACAATAAAATAAAAAAACGCACCGGGGATCGCTTGGAATTGGTGAAAATTTAAAAAAATATAACTCGGTACTCACTGCAGTGATTGACAGACAGAGCATTTTCTCGACGAAGTAAACGTGAAGTCACGGACAGACAGACGGACGGACATGACGAGAACAATAGTGAATTTTTTCCATAAATGAGAAAATGCGCTAAAAAGGATATTTAATGGCCTAGCCTAGACGAATGATAACCTTTGTGTACAGACGCATTGTCTTCAATTTTTATCGTATCTGAAACCATGATTACCATGGTTAAGTGAATATCTATGGTTAAGACGATTGGAAACTGCAGTTCCAGACGGGACATTTATACACACTGTCGAAATACAAGCAACGGTAAAAATTTGTTGACGGATTCTGTACTAATCCGTCTCATCGAAGGTAATGCGAGTTCACGATCGAATCGGCGTTCGAGTGCGCTTATAAAATTGATCCAAAAAGCGTTGTATATTTTTGGTCACACACACACACAAAATGATTAATTACTTAGGCAGAATATCAGCCAACGTTAGCCAACTTTGGCTTGGAACAATTACAACTTGAACAATTAGGCTCACATCGCCATACCATTCGCTTGTCTCGGACGCAAATGGAAAGTTCTGATGAGGGGAGCTGCGTGCGACACGTTGGCAAAATTCCGCGAGCTTTAGGGATTAAAAATCAAGTATTGGTGTCAGTCATTAAAAGAGACGTGTAAATCTAAAGAAAAGAAAAGGAGAAAATTAGTATAGAGAAATTTTGAGAAATTTTAACGGAAACGTAATTCGAAAATGGTGATTTGCGTAGAAGAGTATGAGTTAAAGTAAAAGTAGTGTATAAATAAAACAATGAGTTCGCTAACGGAACGGTTCAAAGAAAAGAAAAACGGTACCAAAATATACTGAATGTGGCGATGATGGAAGTTTTAAATATTCATGCACAGTGGATCTATTGATACACGTTCAGGCGTAAAAAAATAATAACAACAAAAATATGTCCTTTTTCACTAATTGCCCGCCCTTCCAGGTTTCGATTGACCTAACATGTCACCCGATACCGCAATCCCAGCCCACGCTCTCAGCTAGCGCTGCTATTGATTCTTGTACAAATTCAAACAGGACATGGCCGGGAAACCAGAAATTGGAGCCGACAATTTTACCAACTCGAAACCCTTATAATCTGCCCACCAAAAATACTGCGCAAAATGTGACATTGAACTAACAGGAGCATTACTTGCAGGAACTGAAAAAGCCCAATGTAAGTCGATTAATTTTTGAATTAACATGCATTAAAAAATCATCTGCAAAAGAAAATAAAATGTTGTAGTTGCAGAAAAGGTCGGGAAATTAGGATCGCGAAATGACGAGACGTGTAAGGGGTTTGGCAGTTACGGAAAGAGTTGGTCATGCAAGACGAATGAATCAATTTTTCCCTTTGGATTTCCAAGTTGTCGATAAGATTGTACTAAGATCCTGAATTGAAACAATAAACATCAAGGCGAAAAAAGCTATGACGGTTGACAAAATATCCATTTCATCAAGACGAAAAAATGCCGTGAAGGGTCGACAAATGTCCATTTCAAGAGGCTATGAACTGCAGCATTGGCGAGAGGTCGGTGGTAGAAGCAGGTGTGGACGGAGAACGTTCCGTCACAGAGGGGACCATGCCGATCTTTGACCGAGAGTACAAACACAAACCTGCATTGTGAAGCCAGATAGAAATATATGCTTTTATTTCATTTTGTTTATTTCTAAGCTGACCAACCTGTACCACTTATCAATTTTATTTTACGTTTTTTATTAAATAAGGCATGTCCATTCAGACCCAGCAAATATTTTTTAATATTTTGTCCGTAATGAAATATGAGACACCAGAGCACCAATGCAAACACCAAACACAATATCATACTAGATCACATTAATTAAGAAAATGATGGCATGGTCAACTACTCACATGATGGTCATTTACATAAGAGATTAATTATCATGTTACACTCACAGATAAGGAATCTGAAATCGCGATCGAAAGTTTACTTGCGTTCTTCATATTTTTTATGAAATAGCAGCTCAAAGACATGTTGTCAACCACTGGCACTGAAAACAAAGATTTATGGATGTGTGGGAGCAAAAGTCGATATTACGTGTCCGCCACGACGACACTTCACTCTGAATTCCCAGCGTGAAACTTCTTGATAAATCGCATATTCTTCGGTCATCAGATTTCTCGAACACTTCGTCATAGAGGAAATTGACGAAGCTATCTTAATGGAATCAC